TTATTCTTAAGTTGGCAACAATAAGGCTTCCAGCTGATCCTGAATATGGCGAGAAGGATTTAGTCAAGTGTGTTTGCACTGGATGAAGTGGAAATTGATTACGTAATTGATACAAAACTTGCTTAAACGAAGAGATAGAAAAAGTCCTAAATGTAGATCTGCTCTGTATAAGTGCCATTCCGATTAATTGACCATTCTACACTGTTATACATATATTATCATTTCAAAATGTTTCATTATTTTTTTAGGATGATTTGTTTTTATATTTAATCGATTTAAAATACAGGCAACACCCCGTGCATTCGTTCAGGGCAAGCATCAAGTTAGCTTTACAATGCGGAAATTGAGTCCTTTTTGAATGACAATCAAAGAGAAAATTCACTCTATTTATTTTGCAATATACCCTGATTCAAAAAACAAGTCTTTGTATTGATCTTATAAATAGACATCTGGTAGACCTTCTGGAAAAGTCCTTTTTTTAAAAAAAAAATTTTAGGTAACGCTACCTTCTGGATTTGGAAGTGTTCAAATATGTTCGAGATTGTGTACTCGATCAACAATCGGTATCATTTTTTGTCCATACTTCCGAAGCACGATGTATAAAACATAAGCAAAGTTTTTTATTTTCACGTGTAGGCTTGTAGTACGTAGTACTGCAATTGTTACCTTGTGTCTTTAAGATCAAGTTTATACATGTGCACACAACCAACTATGTCCTTTTGGTGTGAATAATGAATAAGAAGTTTGGAATCTCTGTTTAAGTAGGAAAAAAAGGATTTACAGTTGAAAGAAAAAAATTGTTCAAGTGATTGAATGTTTTGGTTGGGCTAATTATTAGCATATATCCACGTGTGGTTCGAAAAATAATTGTTCATAGTGCAAAATTAAGCACACTCTGGTTCAACAATCTTCTTTTATCGACCTTTTGGTGACTCGTTACTCATTTTGAAACTATGTTCCCAACTCAATTAATTTCTTTTTGGGAAAAAAAACCATGTCTTTAACAATTTCATTTCTATATGAATTTTTATAGAAATATTTTTTAATATTTGATATATTCTATCCATGTGGTGTCCAGAGTTATCAAACAATTAGCGCATGGAATTGATACATAATTAATTTAAATGTTTGTATTAGAGAAGATGCTTGTGGTACTAATTCAATGTACGTAGACGCCTACTTAAAGTACTCAATAATAAGGTGAAGATAAGGAACATAAAAAATTAAAAAAAAAAAAAAAAAAATCAACTATGTATAAATGTACTAGAGATTGAGATTAGGTGTTGAATAAAAAGGTGGGAGGAAGGTCTGGGGTCGAAATCATGAGTACAATTAAACCCCTCCTAACTCTTCAACAATAACTAAAGGAAACAGCTTTGATTTAGATGCAAAATCGTTGTTTTGGAGCGTGCTCTGAAAATACCAACTACACTAACTCCGGCCAACTCCATCATCTAGTCAAAACATAGTAATATTACTGTAAAAGGAATCACCAATTTTATTTTCTTTTTAGTTGTCATATTTTGCAAGTGAGAAAATGATGCTTCTTCACATTATGGAGTCCAGTTGTTATTATTAGCTTGCGTAGCTTTTGAAGAATTTCTTGAAGTCTTCGAATGAAATTTTAGACCCTTCTGTTACAATAGATGGATTTTATAAATTTTGGCATCTATAACATGGTGACCTTAAAATACGTATCTTTTTTTGTTGATTAGCAATTATAAGATTATAAAATTGGTATTCGATATGTATATATATATATATATTTCTTAATCAGATGTGATGTAAAAGTGTTTAAAAGAAAAAAAAAAGAATAAAACTCATTAATTTTAGAAAGTAAGATAACAGACTAACTAGTGAATAGCGACAGTTTTTTTTTTTATATACAATGAAAGAAAACATGTTGTTTAATAGTCTAGATTATGACAGATCTTTGCTAGATTATGACAGTTTAATTACTGTTATTTATAGTTTAAAATTAAACATTCTAATTTCACTCATGACACCAAACCCACATAAGAATATGTGTTTGTGTTTTTATATGGAGGATAAGATTGAAAAGTCTTACGGACTGGAGTAGTACTAGAGTTAATCATATGATGGATTTAGATAAAAGAAAGTCGAGTGAAACAAATGTTGTTTCAAAGTTATGTCACATCTTTAATAAGTAATATCAACATCTTAATGTGGTGGTCTCTAAGAATTTATGGTAAAATTTAACGTGGGAAGGTAAGGAAGACCGAAGGAGAACATACTTGGACTTAGTGGAAAAGAATCCGATGTGTATTGAAAGGGCCAACCCCTTGCAGGGTTTTCTGTTTTGCCATCATAATTCCTCAAAAAAAAAAAAAAAAACACAACCGATTAATCCTTATAATTGACCTATAAATAGTAAACACATCAGAGCAATTGAGGAACATCCTCTTAAATAAGAAATGTTCATCTCTTTAGTTTGTTGGGGTTTTGTTAGGAAACCATTTTCACCAATTGAACTTTTATCTGTTTTTGGACATCCTCTCCAAACATATTCTTACATTCTTCTTATGTATAGAATGAATGTGGGACTTCTTGCAATTAATTACAGACTCTTGTTCTCTTCAACTCAAGCAGCAAAACATTATATATATATATATATATATATTTTAATAACATGAGTTATAAGTTTGTTTTAAACGAATACACAAGTAAAAGATTGATCTCACTAAATCAACTATCCAAAGATGATATCCACAACACAATACGTCAATTCCGTAAAAGGTCATGTGATTAAGGTTGCATGCAAACATCTGATTGTTACTTTCTTTAAGACAATTCAAATAATATAAGTATCAAAACTTAATATCGATTTTTTTTTAGACGGATGAAGTGTAATTTTTATATTACGTACATTCTTATTTTCAGGAAATTGATGCGTGAAAATAAGAATATACGGATAGGGAATATTTTCATATTCTTATCTTTGTTTTTTCCTCTCACTCTTAGGAAAACATGATCATGGTCACGTTACGTATACATGCAGATAAATCTAAGATGAGTACAGCATACGGTTTTTAGAATTGTGTGAGGTTTATCCATATGAGGTAATGTACTAATGTGGGATATTGATCTTGGGGTTCTGACTCCTGAACGTTACGTATAAGAGAGCATGGAGGCTAAATGTGGTATCTTTTTAGTTTTTCGCAACGACCCAAAGACAAACAGAGAGCAGACGAATTACTTACTAGAAGCTGCAAAAAAAAAAAAAATGAAGCAGACACCCATGTTCTACACCAAATAATTGAAGTACATCTTCGTTTCAGCAGCTTAGGTAAAAGATATTAACTCCCTCCCCAAAAAAAAGTTCACATTGAGTTTTTAAATTTGTATTAAAAATAATACAAAACTCAAAACTCAATGTGAACTATTTTTGTGGGACAGATGCAGTAAAAAAAATTGTACAATGTGATGTCACCTCCATCGGTTAACAATGTATACTTTCATTGTCTCATTTCTCATTTGTTAGTATCTCATAATTACCCGTCAAAAACTCAAAGCATTGTCTGATTTTAAGTCATGCACGAAAGTTATAGTTCATTTAATAATACTACTATTTCAATATTACAAATTAGCTAGGAATTTCTTACATGATATGAGTAACGGGAGTTAGTAACCTAACTAAGTCTTAGCAATCATTCTAGCGAAAATGACTAGAGAGCTTTCATCTACTTCCGTCCTAACTAGTTTTCCGTAATAAGAATTAATTAATATTGCAAAATTTATTCGTATCCACGTGATGCTAATTTTCTTTCTTTCTTTCCTTTCTTTTTTTTTTCTTTTAATGTTTTTCATTCAACAGAGAAGTATTAATGTCCAAACTTTCAATACCAATCTCTCACATACCACACATTATTGTTCATACAATCATTTAGGGCGACACCTTTGTAGAAAATAATTACCGGAAAGGTTGTTTGTGGAAGAGTATTATTATCGAGAGATTTGCAATGCACAAATTCTCAATTCATAACTTAATTATGCTCATTTTTATAGTAGTATTTCCATTATAATCTTACTTAATAAGAGTACGTTTTTAAGTTCGAATCCAAAAAAAAAAAAAAACGTTTTTAAGTTCCAATCCAAGAATATCCCCATAATCCCTAAAGTTATCGGATAAATTTGGTATATTATAAGTGAAATTTAAAGTGAACAATAATTTTGGGACGGAATAAGCAAAATTGAAAGGAATATTATTTTCTAATAAATTATTACACTGCCTTTTAGTTGGTGAAATTAAACATTTTAATGACGATTTATTTTCAATTGAGTTTTGGCATCCTCAAAGCATGTACTTACATGATTATTTTAATCAATGAAAAATAGTTTGTTACGGAGTTGAATTTTCTTTTAGGAATGCTGACTCAATTCACATAGCCATATTTGGAGGTCCAAAAATGAAAAGGTCATCATATACTTCTGGTATAGTGCCATGAAAAATAATGTCGGTTCTATCATGGTCCAAACAAATCGTCGGTGTATATGTAGTAGTAAAAATGCATTTTCTCAAAATAAAAACATTATTAAATTACAGAATTTTCCACAAAGGAAGGTACGACTTTTCAGCGAATTAATCAATTACCGAGTAAAGAAGAGATCAAGAACTCTCTCTTTTTTCCTCCTCCTTAAAAAGGTTAGATGTCAAATTGTAATAATCAATTGGGGGGCTAATAAGCTGTCACATATGTGACCCAAAAGAGGGAGGGTACTTCTGTCAAAACGTCATCACTTTGGCCTTTCATTTATTTATGTTGTTCGGCAATTTCTCATTAATTTGGCAATTTGTTACCAAATCAATTATTCTCTCATCAATCTTCACTGATCTGTCAAACAAAAAGTTAAACGTTAACAACCGTTGTATCTAACGTTAATTACGTCTAATCCTACTCACACTCTTAATGTTGTGGGGTATGTATTGTAGATTTTAAGTATTTTGAACATAATCAACGTACATATGGCAACTACAGTATAGACAAATGAACATGAGGTGTCGCGTCTGCTGACACAATTTGGTCGGAAGGATGACTTCCGGGAACTGGAACTAACTGCCGGCGGTGAGTTCCAGATTGGCATTTATTGAAGTGTCAACTGCACGCCAAACTACAACAAAGCAAAAGTGGGCTGTTTTTTTTTTTTTTTTCTTTTACGTAAATTTAATGACAATGCGTGTAAAAAAATGTTTGTGGTAGAGAAAATTGAACAGATAAGAATTTGTGACCAAAAAAAATGAAATGTTAGTTTTAACAAAAAAAAATTAAGGTAAAATTAGCAAAAGAGTTGGTAGGAGGTGGAGGTAAATTTCGAAGACACACGATCCATAAGGTAAAGACTAAAAACAGACCATCTATAAAAGAGTGATTATCTTTTCTCCTCTCTCTCCCACCCCTCCTCTCTGTGTGCGTTTCATATTACAGCTTCTCTTTTCTTCCTCTCTCTCTCTCTCCTTCATTTCTTTCTCAGTTTTCCATTTTTTTTTTAATTTTGTTATTTTACTTTTAACGACCCACATTGCTGCCATTCTGGGCAATTTTATTCTTTTCTGTTAATCCCCTAATCGCTTCAAAAGTAAAAAGACTCTATAAAGAGGTAGTTTCACTTTTTTGGTATATTTCCGAGCGAGAGAGAGAGAGAGAGAGAGGGGAAAGGGTTACATGAAGTTTTTCTGATTTTTTTTGCATGACATTCTGAAGGGTTTTTAATTTTTTTTCTCAGAAAGTTTGGTACTTTTTAAGGGTTTATAATCTTGATATACTGAGCTAAGCATCTTGTAGGCCTCTTTTTTTTCCCGCAAAGAACAGTGGGTGGTTCGAGCTTTAGTGTCTCTGACATTCCAGCTCTTCCACCATTGTTTTTGCGTATTGCAGAAGAAAAAACACAAGGCAGAAAAGAAATCATAGCTCTGCTGCTTTTCGCAAGCTATATATTCGGTTGTCACACAGATCCATTGGCTCAACTCTGAGCATCTCTGAGAGCCTCTGTTTTCCTCTGTTTTTGCTGGTACTCTGCTTCAGGAAATATAAACAGAGCAGAAAACAGAGAGATGGACAGGGTTGCAACGACCAATCTTCTTCCAGATGGATTTCTGGGTTCTAGAGATGATATTACAGAGCAATTGAGCCTGATATGGGCTCAGATCAAAGCACCATTGATCGTTCCGCTCCTTAGATTGGCCGTCATTGTTTGTTTGGCTATGTCAGCTATGTTGTTCGTTGAAAGGGTGTACATGGCCATAGTCATTGTGCTTGTGAAACTATTTGGTAAAAAGCCTGAGAAACGCTATAAATGGGAGCCTCTCAAAGACGATGTGGAATTGGGTAATTCAGCGTATCCAATGGTTCTTGTTCAAATTCCAATGTACAATGAAAGAGAGGTAGGTCATCATTCTTGCCTTTTTTTGGACCAATTCAGCTAAAATTTTCATAACAATGTTTTGTTTTTTTAACTATTTTTCTCATGTGTGCGACGGAAACTGCAGGTTTACCAACTGTCAATCGGAGCTGCATGCGGGCTTTCTTGGCCCTCTGATCGTATCATAATTCAAGTTCTTGATGATTCAACAGATCCTATTATCAAGGTATCTACGAAAATCAACAGATAAAAACACCAGCTTCCAAATTGCGAGCAGTAAAAAAGAGTCAGAGTCGAGTTTGTTGACGATCATTTATTGCTCATATAATTGACTCATACTAGTGTGTTTTTTTATCTGATGCTCATATAATTTTTATTGCATTAAATGACAGGCTCTGGTGGAAACAGAATGCCAGAGATGGGCAAGCAAAGGTGTAAACATTAAGTACGAAATCAGGGACAACAGAAATGGATACAAAGCCGGAGCTTTGAAGGAAGGATTGAAGCATTCCTACGTTAAACAATGCGATTATGTGGCTATTTTCGACGCTGATTTCCAACCTGAACCTGATTTCCTATGGCGCACCATTCCCTTCTTAGTTCACAATCCTCAACTTGCCCTCGTCCAGGCTCGTTGGAAATTCGGTAATGTTACTACTTGCATAATTTTTTTTACCTGATTTAATTTCATTTCACCCACTAAAAATTATATTAACTCTTAAATAAATTACTAGTCATCAAAAGTGGTTGGTTACTAATCTCAAATCGTTCAATAGCAGCCCTTCAAATCATTTAGCATAACAGTAAAAAAACAAAAAATAAAATCGAACATCTTTGTCACTGATGGTCACAATTCACATGTAACAACTAGGGTGTTATTACCTTTTAAATGATTAACCCTTAGATGACTTAACAACAACACCTTAATAGTGTCGGTGACAAAAGACAAGCTGCATCAGTTGCTATCACTCACACACACACACACACACAAAAAAAGCAGCCCATTATGATATCTTTTGCTGGTATTATTTTATTACACACATATTAAAAGCACAAGATACCCAGACAAAAAAAAAGTGTATTATCTCCAAATTGGAAGCACTAAAAATCTAATTGCATCCTTAATTTGACATCCAGAATGAAAACGATTGTTCTTCATGATTTGGTGCATGGGTGTGTCATGTTGGAAACCCAGAAGCCAATTAAATTATTCACGAAATCACCAAAGCAACCCGACGTTCAATACTAGAAATTTTCTGGATTTAATATGACGAAACCAAAGTTAAAACTTAAAAGCATAATTTAGTGGAAGTAGATTTGTAAATGCAGTGATGATAAAAAGGTGATTATACAAGAAAGCTTTTTTTCTCTTTTCTTATTGGGTCATTACATATTTCTCTTTTTTTGAGTTGAATTATTACATTGTTCTTGTTTGGCAGTTGATGAGTGGTAGATGGACATTAATAGCCCTTCCCCCCTTCTATCTTTTTGCGGGAAAAGCTGTCAACGTACAGGCCCAGGCCCTTCTATTATTAAGTGTTAAATTTTGAGCCATACCTTTGCCCAGTGCCCTGTGGGCGCAGTGCCCACATAACAACACAATTCCTTCATTCTTCTTGCTGCACTCAAGGGCCTTCCTTGAAAATAAATAGCGAAAGAAAAATTTTGCACGAGGGGCATATCCGTCCTTCAAGTTTAAGGCCAAAACGGCAGCAGTTCCATGTGCTGAATATTTTTTTTTACTTGTCCAGCTAGATTGACTAGTCACTAGAGTCAACCCCATCTGCCACTTTACTAACCGACAAACAAATATTTGATCACTGTGTTTTGTAGATGTTGACTGTTTTCAGTATATGAGAAATAACATTGGATTGCATATAACGATTCTTTTCTTTTTTTTTAAGAAGAAAAAAAAAGAAAAAGTTTTGGTAGATACTGACGCGCCACGTGCCTGATCTTGCAGTGAATTCTGATGAATGCTTGATGACAAGAATGCAAGAAATGTCGCTGGACTATCACTTCACAGTAGAGCAGGAAGTGGGCTCTTCAACTTACGCATTTTTCGGTTTCAATGGTATAATTAATTTTCACATGGACAAATTAAAGTGATTGTGCATTATTGCGTTAAAATATACCATGGTTGTTAACCTTTTGATGCTTTTGGTGTAATGCAGGAACCGCTGGTGTATGGAGATTAGCCGCAATCGAAGAGGCTGGAGGCTGGAAGGACAGAACAACAGTTGAAGATATGGATTTGGCCGTTCGAGCTAGTCTTCGTGGCTGGAAATTCGTCTACCTTGGTTCTGTCATGGTATTGAATTTGCTTCTGCACTAATTATCATAATTATGCACAAATTTTGGAACATTTGAAACAGAGGAGTAAGATTAGTAGGAATATGTCGCTCTCTAGAAAGCGGTCTTCAACTTGAATGAAGTAAATTCCTTCTTGCAGGTGAAGAATGAGTTGCCAAGTACCTTTAAGGCATATCGTTATCAGCAGCACCGATGGTCATGTGGCCCTGCCAATCTTTTCAGGAAAATGGTCTTGGAAATCATTAGGAACAAGGTTCATTCCTTTTACCTGTCTCTCTGTTTTTTTTTTTTTTTTTTTTGTGGGAGTAAATATTTATAACTACCATGACCTTGATTATGCTGAAATTGTAGTTGTACTCAAGTTAACAGTTTGGGTTTTGTTGTTTTGTCATTTTGATTGCAGAAAGTGACACTCTGGAAGAAGGTTCACGTAATCTACAGCTTTTTCTTCATCAGGAAGATCATAGCCCACATTGTCACATTTATTTTCTACTGTGTTGTGTTACCTGCCACTGTTTTAGTACCCGAAGTAGAGGTCCCTAAGTGGGGAGCTGTCTACATTCCTTGTGTTATAACCCTCCTCAATGCAGTTGGAACTCCAAGGTCTAATTTGTTTAGCATACTTGAGAGATGTGTTGATTTATGACCTTAAAGTTTCAGAAAATCCATTCGTACTAATAAGTTGCATTTGAAAAATGCAGATCAATTCATTTGCTGGTTTTCTGGATCCTGTTTGAGAATGTGATGTCCCTTCATCGGACAAAGGCAACCTTCATTGGCTTGTTAGAGTCTAGAAGAGTTAACGAATGGGTCGTAACTGAGAAACTCGGGGATGCTTTCAAGATTAAGTCTGCCATTAAAGCATTCAAGAAACCAAGATTCAGGTTTGGAGACAGGTATACAAAATCTTTTCCTTAATTTTCACGAATGTTGACTGAAATTACAAGCAAGTTCCATCTTTTTCTCATCATTAATCATCATTGCTTTTCTTTTGTCATTGTTCTACAGACTTCACCTCCTGGAGCTTGGAGCTGGTGCATACCTTTTCTTCTGCGGATGTTATGATGTTGCCTTTGGGAAGAATCACTATTACATTTATCTCTTCACTCAAGCAATTGCATTCTTCATTGCTGGATTTGGTTACATTGGGACTATTGTTCCCAACTCCTAAAATTGCTGGCTACATTCATTGGAACTGAACTGAAAGCTGCAGTGTTTCAATAGTAGTCTCATCCTTGGCCGTCGCCCTGTTTGTCGTGCCTCTCTTCCCTCAAGCACCGTAATTAGAAGTGGCGTTTTCCCAGCAACACCTCTTTTGCAAATTTTTGTTAAAAAGATTCTTCTGGTCTGTTTAAAATTTTTGGATTAAAAAGTTCTGAATGTGTTCTTTTACTTGTAAAGAAAGGGACGAAGACAGAATTATTCTTTTAGGTTAGGCATGAAAAGAAAAACCAGTTCGAGCTGTTATTGCTCGAAGGAAATTTGTTGTTGTGTATAGAAATGGTAAATGAAGGGCTTTTACATCGAGCAAAATGATGTTGTTGAAAGAGCTCTTTTACAATTGATAGTGATACAGAAATGACAAAATCAACGACACAGAATAAACTCAACGAGTAGAGAAGTTGGATTGGCTTAGATCAGATGTAAACCTGTTGTGTTCTCCATAGTCAATCGTCATTATTTCTTCCTTTTTTTTTCTTTCAAAAGGTTTTAAACTTCAAAATTTCTTTTGCAACAACATGTTACATGTGACGTTTTTGTTTTTGTTTTTTTTTTTGTTTTCCCGAGAGCAAATTGTATGCTCAATTGGGCTTATAGATTGCAGGCCACATTGATTCAAATTTTTCTGAATTTGCTTATTTGAGGCTTCTCATCACAGAAGGGCTTAAACTAATGCTTAGAGGTCGAGACTAGACCAGTCCCAAACAATAATCCAATTTGTATTAAACGGATGGAGTATAGCATTATATGATAATAAGTCATTGTTTTCGGTACAATAAAAAAGCAAAAATCTAAAATAAAGAAAAATAAATGTTTTTTCTTGATATATTATATATTTGGTGTTCGAATTCGTTCTTTCAACTAATTCAAATCCGAGCCGAATTGTAATAATAATATAAAAGTACTCTGTGGATCAAAGAAGTACCAATAATACATGTGTTTCACTCATAACATGTCACTTTTATGTAGGCATATATATATATGTATATATATTCGCCTCAGAGAAGGTGAAGATGCCTAGGAAGTTTACACTTACACCGTTACATCACAATCAACCATGACGTGAAATTAATGAAATCAATTTCAAGATGGATCGCGTGTTTATTCCACAAACTTCAATCTACTAACAAGTTTCAAGAAACCACCAAAATTATGCTAACAAAACAGAAATCCCAATTATTTATACACGATTGGTATCCCGGGAAATTTTGATGCTATGTGCATTTGGCGGGTCATGCATCGGATTATTGTTGTAGGTCGGCGATGGTGATGGTAGACTGAATATATCGTGATGTTTTTGAACAAAGCATATTAGCATAAAGTTAACGCATATAATTGAGGATGTCCCATTCTAAATTGCCTCTCTTGCAATAAATAATTATATAAATTCTTTACTTTTGCTAGATGATATATATCCTTCTTCGAGGGGCCAAAATCATCTTTGTTATTTTGTGCACCTTTTGCGTTTGTCATGATCAGCACACAGACAAAATAAAGTACCTTTGCTAAGTCATGTATTAATTCCTTATCCCTTCATTCAACCAGAGTTTACCATATTCTTAGTAGATATACATAGGGAGATGGTTCATATTAGGCAGATGGAGTAATTTATAAAGGTACAAAAAATTTACCTGCATTTATAATTGTCAAAATTGTCCCATTTTGAAACCCAAGGAGTATGTATTGACTTATGGGAACACTAATTATCAGAACAAAAAACTATTCATAAAAATACCATAGGGTATATTCTCGCAACTTATGATATAATACCAAACCTCGGAAGGAATATTCTTGAGCTAGCTTCAACATCCATTTTAACGTTTTTCCGGGAATTTGCTCTTTTCTTCTTTCGTGTTTTTTGTATACGGAAACCAACCAACATCGAACTTGATTCCGAAGGTTAGGTGATACCGAATGTGTGTCATTTTTTTCGGAAAATTGATGTTTCCTTTGTTCCAATATAATTTTAAGTGTTAATTTAATTTATTAACTTCAATATAAAGTTCGGGATGAAAAGAATATAATATTTGGAATATTTGTCTAATGAAACTATGAAGGCTCTCAATCCAGAACACCTCAAACAGTGAGGCTACTGCAATCAGGACTCTATCCAGCAATGGCTTGCCACCTGGATCGCCAGCGCACCAGATCGTGAATCATTGGAAGAATCATTGGTAATTTTATGGCATATTTGGAAAAGTAGAAGTAAACTTTATTGGGAAAACCAGAAAGAAACTCCATAAATGATACTCAACAGCGCTAAAGTAGAATACTAGAGCTTAATACAAAACTGGAATCAAGACTAGCCCGAAACAATCATTCGGAAGAATATAATTCACATCCCTCAGTCTAGTCTGATAGACCGACAATCTTGTTTGATGGAGCTTTCCAACAAGAAACTTTTGAGGCTGCAATAGCATGGACGATTATGGCACAAAATACTCTCTCCAGGATCAATCAAACTATGAAATTTATGGCAATATCTGCACTTCAAGCAGAAGCCTATACATGTCTACTGGCAATCAGGTCTGCGTTACAAAATGAAATCACAACCGCTAAGATAAGAACGGACTCACTAAATCTCATTAAGGCCATTGCACAACCAGAAAAGGCCGCAGTAGAAATCCAGGATACAATAAAGGAAATACTCCACCATCAAATCGTAAACTGGTCATTTTTAGTTAGCAAAGTAAGTAGAAATAGTTTAGAATTAGAGCATAATTTAGCAAAATATTGTAACCAAAACTCCTTTTTTTCTACACTTCAATAAAATAAATTTCCTTTACTCAAAAAAAAAAAAAAAAGTGAGGCTATTGTTATTATTGTACGAGTATAACATTTTTTTACAGTACAATCAAAAGTAAAGAATTGTCGATACTGGATTCGGGCATGCAGGCGGTCTTTTAAGACTGGATTCGCCGCTACCAGGTTTATTTTGGTGGCTTAACCACGACATTGTAGGAGTTGCGTACTCTAGAAGAATTGTAATTTAGAGGTAGCATAATATGCCTTCTTCAGCAAAAAAAAAAAAAAGAATTGTCGATACTTGGGCATGCAACCGCCAGAACGGCAGAAACAGGCATGATGGCTATCCACGAAAATTAATTGAATAAGTTACGTTTCATGTCCCGAAAGAGTACTGCATAATTGGATTGTACAACTCATGTGTAGTACTGGATGATTGTCGGCAATGATCGATCATTTTGGTAGATAAAGTATATGGAAAGGTCTACACCTTGGTTAAAATTTCCTTCCACTCAATCACAATTTCCTTGGGTTCATTTTACCAACAACATTCTAATTGCCCGTTTGACTGAGATCATGACAAAGCATTCCCATGTAAACCAACTTCTTCTTTTACGTTAATCATCTTCAAAATTAGTAACATTATTCTATCTCAACGTAATTTTAAGCTCTCAATATCGTTTTGATAATTGATAATTCACGTTTCACTCCCAACGTGTCGTTTTCACTAAACCCTTTCACCCTATCTAGATGAAGGTAATTGTTGTTTATTATCAGTACTCTATTTCACTCTATATGAGATTTCAACATTAGAGGAACCATCATGGTTCCACATTTTAAACTTCCAAGAAGAAACGAGAACCATAGGCTAACACATAGGAGCTTCTTCTTATAAAAAGTAATTGTCTTTCATCCTCGACATGGATCACTTCATCACTGCCCACCTTTCATTTCAAAGAATTTTTGTTGTTTATATCAGCTGGGAAACACACCAGTCCTCCCTAGCTTTAATTGTTCGTCGTACTTGTTTTCTGTGACATCCATTTGAGCTAATTTTGTGCATGGAAGCTGAACTCTCAACTCTGGAGGATAATTCAGCTATCGTACATAAGGTGATTAGCTAAGAAGTAAATCTCTTGCAAGAACAGTAGAGGGTGGCTTAATATTATTGTCACATTAGAATTGCATAGTAGCATATCCAATATTCCTCACCTCTAAATTAGGACACTCTGTTCTTGGAGAAACAGAGAAATGGACAGGAATGCCATAACCAATTTTGTTCTTCAATACGCCCTTTTGGACTACACAGAGGAATTCAGCAAAATCTCTGCCCATATTTTAGCTGGATTCATTGTCCCGGTGTTCAAAGCCGGCATCATATTAGGCTTGGTTTTGTCCACAATGCTGCTGGTTGAGATGCTGGGCATGGGTTTGGTTCTTTTGGTGGTGAAGCTATTTGGTAAAAAGCCAGAGCAAAGGTACAAATGGGAGCCTTTAAAAGACGATGTGGAGATGGGCAGTTCAGCGTACCCCATGGTTCTCGTTCAAATCCCAATGTTCAATGAAAAGGAGGTCGGCCCCCTTGTTTAATCATGCCTCTTTTAACCTTTTATACAAACACTTTCATGGCCTGCCCTGTTTTCCCTTTTTAACTGGCTGATCAATTTACTTACTAAATCTTTCTGGAAAAAAAATCAATCAAACAGGTGTATCAACTCTCAATTGGAGCGGCTTGCTGCCTTTCTTGGCCCTCTGATCGGATCATAATTCAAGTTCTTGATGATTCAACAGATCCAATTATCAAGGTAAGTCCGTATTATGTTTGGATTAACATAATGTAGCAATGGAAGTTTTGATCTTTTATGGTTCGGAAAAAGCTGGGTCATGAAAATGTGCAAAATATTGAACGGTGTGAATAGGCATCGGTGGAAATTGAATGCCGGAAATGGGCGGGACAAGGGGTGAATATCATGTACGAAACCAGAGACAACCGGAACGGTTACAAGGCCGGAGCTTTGAAGGAAGGGATGAAGCATCCGTACGTTTCACAATGCGATTATGTGGCCATTTTCGACGCTGATTTTCAGCCGGAACCTGATTTTTTGCGGCAAACCGTTCCGTACCTGGTTCACAATCCACAGCTCGGCCTCGTCCAGGCTAGCATGGAATTTGGTATACTTCTATTTCTCTCTACATTTCGTTTTCCAACGTTGCTGGAAAATGCTTTCCTCCGTTTGGACCGACTTTGGGTGCTGTTGGATTCCTACACTTTAGCCCGTCGTTTCAAGTGGGCCTGTGTTTAGTTTATTGGGGGACCCCAAATGAAATAAAAATTAAAATTTAATTAATTACCAAACTTCCATTGTTTTTTAACTCATGGCCTCTGCTCTCTCGGGTTGGGGCTTGTTTTTTGCAGTGAATTCGAATGAATGCTTGTTGACCAGAATGCAAGAAATGTCGCTAAATTATCATTTTACAGTGGAGCAAGAAGTGGGCTCCTCAACCTATGCCTTCTTTAGTTTCAATGGTTAGTGTTCCTTTCAGTCGCTGTCAAAGTTTACCCTTTTGGTCGCTGGTGAATGGTAAAAATTTTGTGATTCGATAATTGAAGGGATAAACGATTTAGCCTCTGTGTATGTTGGTCATCGACTCTTTGATTCTTCAGGGAATGCAATGTTCTTTACAGAATCCCTCTTGTGAAAGCAGGAACTGCTGGCGTCTGGAGATCGGCTGCAATTCATGAGGCCGGAGGCTGGCAAGACAGAACAACCGTGGAAGATATGGACTTGGCTGTTCGTGCTTGTCTCAAAGGATGGAGATTTTTATACCTTAGTTCAATCAAGGTGCCCACTCAATTTTTGTACACATTCTTTTGGTGCTCGCTTCAGTTTTTTTTTTTTTTTCTAACAAAACCAAATCCATAATCCGCCTTCATCAAAAAATCCATAATCCGAATCACCGATAATGCAACAATCCAATTGCTGATGATCAAAATGGTATCTTGAATTAATAACATGAAGTATTATAAGAATTTCCCTGCTTGTAGGTAAAGAATGAGTTGCCAAGTACCTTGAAGGCCTATAGAATTCAACAGCACCGGTGGACATGTGGCCCGGCCAATCTTTTCAGGAAAATGATAATGGAAATTCTAAGAACCGAGGTCCGTTCCTTCTTCAATCAATCTCTCCGACTGACCCAAATGAATTTGCTTTTCCAATGAAACAGTTTTGTTACAAGCTCTATTTTTCTGTCTATTTGATTGCAGAAATTCGCTCTGTGGAAGAAGATTCATGTCATATACAGTTTTTTCTGGGTTAGGAAGATCATTGCTCACGTTGTCACCTTTATATTCTACGTAGTTGTATTACCAGCCACTGTATTTGTACCAGAAGTACAGGTGCCAACGTGGGGAACTGCCTACATTCAAGCCTATACTTTCTATGTTGTTCTCTTTCTCATTGCATTTGGAACCCCAAGGTCCAGCTCTCTTGAAACTCTTTAAGTTTATCCAATTCAGTCTTAGTGCTGCAACACTATTCGTTATGTTTGGAGCATGAGAATGATAAAAAAAGACACACGTAATTTTAAGCAGCTTGAGCATCATGGAATTATTGCTTTTCTAGAAAATCAAATGTGGACTTTAGACCAGCATTTTTTGCATTTTTTTTCCACTTTGGATTTCACAAGTTCCTCTGCATTGTCATAGACAAAATGTAGTTTCGGTCTTGTTAACAAATCAATCATGTGCACACTTCTTATTCTGTGTTTCATGATCACTTTATTCTTACTGTTGATTAGGAGTTCTGCTGTTAAGGCATGTGCTTAATCTAGACTAAATTGATATTCAGCATTGGCCCTTCATGCTTACCACTTTGACGATGCAGATCGTTGCATTTAATTGCTTTATGGATGCTTTTTGAGAATGCAATGTCCCTCCATCGTGCAAAGGCGATCTTCATTGGCTTGTTTGAATGGAGAGGAGCAAAAGAATGGGTTGTGACTGAAAAGCTTGGGAATGCTCTCAAAATCAGATCAGCTGGAAAAGAACCTAATCAGTCGAGATTAAGGATTCGCGAAAGGTACAAATCTTCCCTTAGTCTTCAAATACTATGTTGTGGGGCTCCCGTGTTTTGTTGTTGATTGATTATCTTTTGTCATCAACAGACTTCATCCCTTTGAACTAGCGGTTGGCGCGTACCTTTTTTGTTGTGGTTGCTACGATGTTGCCTTTGGGAAAAATCTCTATTACCTCTATCTCTTTGCTCAAGCAGCTGCATTCTGTACTGTTGGATTGGGCTACATTGGGACTTCTGTTCCCAACTCCTGATGGTGGAACTTGATCCCGTAAAGCTAATTATTAATTACCTCTGTGGTGCAGTAATTTTGTGGCGCTGCGCTTTCAGCAACACCTCCTTCCATTTCCTTCGTCCGAAACGCTACTTCTGATGTTAGGCATAAGTCGACCTTGATCACTACTGCCTTGACATTTTGTTCTTGTGCATAGGAGATAACTACAGAAGCAAAGGCTTTCCCAGAAAGTACCAGCCACCAGAATACATGTAAATACCATTCATTAATGACCATGGTCAGATGCTCTGTAAATTTGCTTATTTGATTTGTAATTAGAGGATACAACCAAAGTACTGGAATACAGAGTTTCATTCTGAATATATATACTCACGACAGAATTTGTACATGCTAAATCTCAACTCTCTGTGCTTTGTTACATCATACTGGAAATGATTCCTTTAAAGAGAAAGAAATGAACAAGAATCATTCATGTTTCAAATTGTTGTTGAATTGCAGTATTGCACAACAATACTAAATTCCACCATTAACGAAGGGAATGCGCTTAATTGTCGATTGGAGTTGTGGATGGGCTTTTCTTGTTTTCTTTCTCTTCCACAGTCTACCGCTCTATCCCTCTAAATTATCCACAAAATTTAATAAGTTGTATGAATTCGCTCATCAGCTTGTTTGATTGGAAGAACCTTAGTTTTGTTTTTTATGAATTGGAGGACATTGCAGTGACCAATCCTTCTTCTTCAAAATGTACTTTTGGGCTATAGAGAACAATTGAGCAAAGTCCGCGATCAGATTAAAGATAACTTGATTGAGTCAGTCCTTAAACTAGTTATCCTACTTGGCTTGGTTAGGTCAACAATGTTGTTGATCGAAATGGTGTATGATGGGTGTCTTTATTGTGTTTCCTGAAGCTATTTCATAGAAAGCCAGAACACCGATACAAATAAGAGCCTTTTAAATATGAGATGGGGGGATTTCAGCATTTTTCCTTTGGGAAAAATCACTATGACATTTATCTCTTTCCTCAAGCAACCGCAGGAAATCGAGAAAATTCTTGAAATGTTCATCCTGAACCTAAGTCCTGATCATATTGTATATAATGACCTTATTTACTGTTATGTAGAACATGGGGAGTTCAAAAAAGCGTACTCTTTGTTCCAGGAAATGGTAAAACTTGGGATTCGTCTCAATCGGATGAGCTACAGTGGCCTGATTTTGGGATGTGCTAAAGCAAAGCAAACCTGATGAAGCCCAGCACCATTTTTAAATGACATGATTGGGTGTGGATTGGATCCGAACTCCCGATGCTTATAACATGATAATTGAGGGATATTGCAAGGTGAAGGATTTTTTAGGTGCTTATAAAATGGTACAGGCAAATGCATGAGAATACTTAATCCACCCATCACAAATGGTAACGAACTACTCTCTGGCCTCAGGCATGAAGGAAGATGATCATCAGAGGTTCAGAAACCTGTTCAGAGATGAATTGTAAAGGATTGAGTGAGGAGGTTTGCATCAACGAAGACCCTTCTCCTGTTTGCCAAGCCGAATTAGTCAACTAGCTTGTATTCTGTTCCAAAATCAATTATCTTGACAATCTATACAATAATTTTGGGACGGAACCACTGTTTATTTAGTTAAAAGGAACTGACTCTTTCATTTGACTTGGTACATGGGAAATACTCGAAAACTTATAGATGCTACACATATATCAGTCCAGTTTTTACAAAACAGACTCTTTCATAATCTGTCCAGTTTTCTGTCTCCGGATCGTGCCACTCATTTTTTATTCCGACTGATCACTTGTATATATACATTTTCGTTTTTCAGTATATATACTAGTTCAAAAATCCAAACATGATACTAGTCTGATGTGATTTTTTTTTTCCAAAAAAATCTTTTCCTAGTACTACTACCAGTAGTCATATATATGCCATATATACGAGTTTATGAAGTAAACGTGTCAGCAGAAACAAACCCCCACGTCACGTGACAAGGCATTGATTCATCACGTGATTCAGCGCCATCCCAGCCAGCCAGCCAACGAGCGTGCGCTGCGTGCATCGTGTATTCGTGTTAGATAGATGAGATTTGAGATTGAGCCCCTCCTGATCCCTAATTTCCTCCGCCCAAATTCCACCAAATCCTTCCAAAATCTCATAGGAATAATAGTCTCCGGCTTGTCCCATTTTACTCATATAGAGTTTCAGATCTTCTGCTACACACAGTCACACAGTGAAACCCCCACCCCCCAAAAAAAAAATGGCGGCCACCGCAACCACATTCAACCTCACAAAACTCCTCTCCTCCTCCGCCCCTAAACCCCTTTCCCCTCTCTTCTCCGCCGCCAAACCCAGATCATTCTCTTCTTCATTTTCCTCTTCCTCCTCTATTTCCCAACTTCCTCTCAAACTCCACAACCTCCGCCGCCACCCCAACCCCATCAAATTTTCCACCGTCCCCAAAGTCTCCGCCACCATCTCCGTCGGCGACAAGCTCCCCGACGCCACCCTCGCCTATCTGGATTCATCCAACGAAGTCCAGACCGTTTCCATCTCAGACCTCACTGCCAATAAAAAAGCCATCCTCTTTGCCGTCCCCGGTGCTTTTACCCCTACTTGCTCCCAGAAACACCTTCCCGGATTCGTGGAAAAGGCATCGGAATTTAAGGCCAAGGGTGTGGATACCATTGCCTGCATTTCGGTCAATGATGTGTTCGTGATGAAGGCTTGGAAGGAGAATTTGAACATCAATGACGAGGTCTTGTTGTTGAGCGATGGCAATGGAGTGTTTACTAAAGCTATTGGATGCGAGCTTGATTTGAGTGATAAACCGGTTGGGCTCGGGGTTAGGTCAAGAAGGTACGCTTTCTACGTTGAAGATGGGATTGTCAAGATCTTGAATTTGGAGGATGGGGGAGCTTTTAATGTTAGCAGTGCTGAGGATATGCTCAAGGCAATTTGAATTTCTTTTGCTGTAATTGAATCCTTTTTTGGTTAAATTGAGAGATGTCAAAGTGAGAAGGTAAGCTATGCCATGTAGCGAATAAAGAGCATAGGTAGAAATTCGAGCTCAGCTTTTGAGGATTCTGATTCGCGTATTTGGATGAAAGATTGGTTTTTCTCTTTCCTTCTTCCCTTTTAGCTGACTACTTTCTGTTACAACTTACAAGTCCTGTCAAAATTAAAACTCCTGTGTATGTTTTTTGGTTTCCTGTTGCATTTCTTCTTTTATCCCTTCTACGTTTTTGTTGATGCCTAATTGCCAAATTTGAGAATAGAAATGCTTGGCATATTATTTTCCCCACAAAACTTGTATGGTACTACCCTGTGTTCATTGGAGAATGAAGATGACACTGTATGTTATCCTACATTCTCTTAAAAATGTTTACCTTCTTGGGGCGAGTTACAATGTCCTAAGTCTGAGTTGAGGATGCTTAACTGCTAGTCGCCTGAACCTGAAAGGATAACTAGGTAAATGTGGCACAAGTTAATGATTTTTTGTGTTTTGAGTTTTGACTGATGCTATATAATATTTACTAAGGAAAACTGATAGTTGAATCATGAATGTTCCTCTTTGTTGGTCAATCAACATATGATGGAATTGTGCTGTAATTTCCACGCAGAGATAATAAGATTGGTGATGAAATAAGTGATGCCAAATCTTCATCTTCTTTTGTAAGAAAGTCAAAGAGCTTCTCTTGATTGTTTTTGTACTTTACATTTGTCGCGTTACTCCCAATTCGCATCATGTTATCATTGATTCAGGTGCGCTGCTACGCTTAGATCATGTATCTTTGTCTGTGGTTAAAATATGACTAGTATCAGACATCTTAACCTTCCTTTTAGTATCAGAAATGCATACTTTGGCTGAAGAATGTTGTTACTCTGTTGGTCATTTTCTACTCTGTCTCTACAATGCAATGCTCCTACAGCCTTCAGGTTTCTCTTCTTCAATTGTCATTGTAAACAAGATATGTTGGATTTTACGTGGTTAACATTGAGGAAGAATGTGTCAGTGAAACTTTCAAGCCTACACTGTCTGCCTGTATGGGACCGTGTTTTCGGTTTGGATTGTCATCTCATTGATGACTTTTCTGATAGCTTTTTGCACTACATTTTTTCCACATTTGTAAAAACATAAATAGTTGGGGCCAAAGATTGGGTTTTGCTGAATAGTCATCAACATGCAGGTCAAGAGATTAGGGATCAATCTTATTCGAATGCATGTTTAACTTTTAAGCATTGTTTTGCGCCAGCCAGTCTGTTCCCTTGCATAGACTACAGTTAGTGAGTTTTGTTTGAAGAAAGGATTATTGTTGGTTCTCTATCATTTTTCTACATTTCTGAAACAGTCACCTTCTATACTTGTATCCTCTTCGTTGTTATTAAAAGACAGACAATCGTTTTGGTATGGAACTGAAACTGGCAAGAGTGACATTGTAATTGATTATGTATGCGCCACCTTATACTCGGGTAAGGGGATCAACATTCTTGTCCAAATTGCATAATAGTACTTCCTCCGTCCTGAAATGATTGTCCAATTTGGATTCTTCTTTAGTTCAAATTGTACTAAAAGTAAATATTCAAATTGGATAATCATTTTGGGACAGAGAGAATCGTAGATTATGAGTTTTCTTTTTCTTTTTCAAGAATATATCGTAATAGTTGGTGTTATGCTGCTGAACTCCACTTGTAAGTCTGCTTTATACTTTAGAAGATGAAGAGAGGGAGGAATAAAAGGTTGCATAGTAGAATAAGAGAGAATAAAGCTTTAAGAAATTAGATCATTACATTTTGAGGATAAGTAGCCCTTATAATACTATGTTCTGAGTCAAGATTAACAGTGGAGCATCCTTTCATTTGCAAACTTCCTGAACCAAAAGACCATAAAAGTAAAAATTTAGCATAGTTACTCTGATGAACTCATTGCAAACTTCCTAAACCAAGACCATAAAAGTAAAAACCCGTTAGTATAGTTACCCTGATGAACGAGAAGACAATTGAAAAAGGCCTCATCACTTAACCCACCTAGGCTTATACTGGCCCAAAAAGACTGTGAAAAGGATCGCAAAACAAATATTTTTTGTCCGTCGATTATAATTATGTGTTGTTAGAGTTGAGAAGTACATTGTCAAAAGAGGCCCGGGAGATAGAATTCCAAGTCGATTCTCCCAGAAAAGATCATCACAATTCACGCTTAATTGTGAGGTCTGGCAAGACAATTTGACTCGAACCGTATTATTCAATTGATCAGATTAAATGAACAGGACTTTTGAGGTGGATGTCACTTGTGTTAACTTATATAAGCATGACATGTACACCCATGCGCAAAGTGGCATATTGTTGATTCTGCTCATTATGTTACTTTGACTGATTTATTGAATTCAGAAAAAAAAAAAAACCAAAAAAACACAGTGACATCAACATTATTCGTTAACCTTTCAACGATGATGCGCAACATTATTCGTTTCCAGTGTATTGCGACTATTGTTCTTATTTCCAAATTTTCCAAACTCACAAAATGCCAGGAATATTCGCCTCTTCTAGTTCTGGATTTGGGAGTTAGATTTTGAAAATCAGAATATTCCTCCAGGGGTCTATATGTCATTACATCTTCCACATCTGTTTTTTCTTTTTCCCCAAGTATTCGTTTGAAAAATCGACAAACTACCACCAAATTTGTACACAACCACCGTAGCCGCCTCGTCTGGACTTTTAATGAAAGTAAACCCGCTATGAAACAAAATTATGTGAATTTTCTAATACGGAAGAAGAACATTAATAGCTAGGCGAAAAAAATTTAAAACTCAATATGAACGTTTTTTTTTTCTTTGGATGAACTGCAGGGGAAGTATTTATACTATGTAAATGTCCCACTCTGGATAACTTAATTAATTTAATTCCAAAATAGGTGATTCGTTAAAACTAACGGAAAAGAAATCCCGTGACTTGCACGTGAGGAGCTAAAGGTGTAAATTATGTCCAAAAGTAAAAAAACAAAAACAAAAAAGGGTAGGAATTTGAATGTTCCAGGGCTTCATCTATTAAGATCATGAACCATTCTCTCTCCTCTTACCCGAATACTAGTACATTCTATTGATTTCTTTTCTTGATTGAAATCATAGATAACCCATGGAATTGATTCAACTATCGATCAAAACTGAAAGAAATCCTAATTTTTTTTAGATCTACTGAATCGATGTCGTCAAATTGGAAGAATACACCCCCCGGAAGCAAGCAACGTCAAAGTCATCATCGAGAAGCCGGAGGGAAAACGCTATATTATGAACACAAAATTCTGCTAAAGTTGTAGACACCCCATAACCTTGTCTAAAACTCACGTGAAAAGTGGAATTTTTGGTTCTGTTACACTTAACGGAAAAATTTAAGCCTGAGTTACTTCCTCAGTCACTTTTTTGTTAATTGAATTACTTATTTTAGAATTAAATTAATTGAGTTACTTAGAGTGGGACATTTGCATACTATAGTTACTTCCTTTACAGTTCACCTTTTTTTTTTTAGGTCGAGATGATAATATATATTGGTTTTGAGCTTTAAAATAATTACTAGATGCTTGGCCGGGCAGATGCGCGGGCGCCCCCTCTACTTTAATTTTGTGTTAATAGATAAATGAATTCTTGATTTGAAAAAAATAAAATAGCTACACATTTGTTTTTTTTCCCTTTTTTAGCCAAAAATAAAAATAAAATAAAAAATCATCTGCAAAAGGAGAAAAAATATTGAAAAGTATAACGATCCAGAAATCATACAAAAAAATGTGGAGTAATAAAGTGGATAAATTTATGGGTAAATTTAAATGTTATCTTAATTTGATTGATAAATGATAAGCGTTAGGAGTTAAAATTGTGTAGCTATTTTTGTAAAGTAGCTTTTGTTTCTCCGGATAGGATTTTCTTTTTTTAAAAAAAAGGATGGCACGTGACAAAATGGTTAATGCAATATGGTGTATTTGGAGCCAAAATTTTTTAATAAAAAATTGACACATTAATATCCTGTATTCTGCTTTAGTAGGGTAAAAGGGATTATCTTATTTTTTACTACATCAGTCCCAAAAAAATAGTACACATTGAATTTTCAAATTTGTATTAAAAATAGTATAAAACTCAAAACTCAATATGGACTATTTTTTAAGGATGGAGGGAGTATAATTTACAAAACACTGATTTTGATACTGAATACGTTTGCCCCTGAGTCAAAAGGTGCATCATCAATTGCAAAACCCCAAAGGCAAAATAAACAACATGCTAAAACGATAACAGAAAAGTCTCAACGTCAAAATTTGGCGGTTTCGATGGGTTAGCCATCGTTTTTGTGCGACTCATGTTTTTTACCAGCAACCCGTCATTTTTTCATCTTCCTAACTCATACTGAAAAGGGGAAATTTTATTAACAATTCTGACATTCAGACTCCATTACTTGTTGAAAATCAGATAACGGGCCAGGAATATGTATATGAATAAAAATTGCAATAAGTTTATTCTTGTTTTCCACAAACAAATATTTCACCCAAAAAATAAATAAATAAATAAAAATGTTTCATTGGCTTGATTCGGGAAAGTCACTAAAGCAAAACTTTTGAGCCCACGGGATTAATTTGTGGACCATCAAAGTTGGGATATGCCATTTGTGGAGGAGTACTTTTTTTCGATGTTCACGAGGCTGATTTCGCAATTGGGGAAATCACCATGGGGTTGGTGGTACAATGTAAAATCAAACTATTAGCGTAAATCAAACTATCAGTATATTTGAGAGAAATTTAATACTCCCTCCGTCCTATAATTATTGTCCAGTTTAAATTTTAATTTTTAGTTCAAGTTGTACTAAAAGTGAAGTCTCAAACTGGACAATAATTTTGGGACAGAGAGAGTAATTTTTTATCTATTAAATGGTCCAGGTAATACAATGTTACCAGAACAATAATTCTTTTTTTGAGGTTCAATGAAGAAGGTTAGCACTTAGCAGTGAACACCTTACAGTCATACTATTGTTTGTTAACTCATTTTACATTTTAACTCATTTTACTTATTAAACACAAAACTTAACGGAAAAGATAACATCATTCAAACAACTTTCTGATTTACATTTTAAATTCCAACTTGAAACACTTTTTGTTAGTGTAATGACCATTTTTTAACTAAAAATAATTCAGTGACAAATTTGCCAGGTTTCCGTTATTTCGTGATTGTTTGTGAAAAAAGTTCTTTTTTAAATTGATTATATTGACAGTATTTAATTGTTTAGTAATGACTCGTACTTGATATTTTAAAATGTAGTTCTAAATTTTTTTTTTTCAAAATCAACATCCAAACAACTTTTTACTCAAAATACCATCCAAATAACATTCTCATTTCCCATTTAGTTTTCAACTTAAAACACTTTCAACTTTTAAGTGGCAAAATGAAATGTAAGATAACGTCCAAACGAGTACATTCTTTCTCTAAAATTAAACAACATTTGAGTGTTAATAATAGATTTTTTTTTAAAAAAAAAAATATTGTACGTGTAAATTCCAAATTATTACAAAGTTGAAACCTAATCATTGAAAACTTTCTTTTCAAGAAATCAAAGTAATTAGTGCAGTATTCATTTATTAGCCAGTCCAATAAAATTGTAAAAAAAAAAAGGAAAAAAAAGAAAGGAAAAAGAAACCGAACTGGGAATTCTTGTAGGACAATTAACCTACTAATATTCTATTTTTCTAATAAATCTCTCCTCGGGACATCTAACGGCTGTAATTAGCCCAAAACCGTCTACAAATACCCCTCACAACTCCAGTCGAGCTTTACCATTCTGCTTTGTTCTCTTCGCTGCTTCACTAAAACAAATTTTTTCTTTCTAGAATCATCCTTAGATCCCAACCACTCTCATCAGCTATGGCCACTATCTCAGCCATCAAAGCTCGTCAGATCTTCGACAGCAGAGGCAATCCCACCGTCGAGGTTTGTATTCCAATCATCCTTTATCTGTGGTCCTTTTCTCTGAAACCGATTTGTCAATCTCAAACTGTGTTACGGTGCTTATTGATCTGTTTGATCGATTTATTTACGAGATTTGGTTTTTGTTTGCATCGTATATGTTTCTATCAGTATCAATTTAGATGAACTTAAGCGGAGATTTATCGAGAGATTTTGATGTTAAACAGTGTGTTTGTTTTTGTCTTTCGTTTGAGTATGGGATTTAGATTCTATCACTGTCGATTATAGGCGATGTTGAGGTCCTACTTTTTCTTTTTGGACTTTTTTTTTTGAGGTCCTACTCTTTAAGGCAATAGTTGATATGTCTCGTGTTTGTGACATAGGTTGATTGTCATCTTTCCAATGGTTTGTGGGCGAGAGCTGCTGTTCCTAGTGGTGCTTCCACAGGTAAGAATGCCTTTTATTCATTTTGATTCCTTACATTCTCTTCATATGTCTCTGATTTGGTGATAATAATTGTAATACTTGCATTGGAGTTCCCCCCACTACAGTGCTAAAAATGTGTAAAAATGTTTTGTAGAATGGTTATAGTGATATTGGTTTAGTGGGGGAATAATTTGCCTAAATTAACTTTAAATCAATCCATCTCACAGGCGAAACGAAGTGATTCATCAAACTAAAGTTAAAATTGAAATATAAGTTTTTATGAGTTGATAGTGTTTATTTTTGTAATTTTTTTTTTCCGGAAATGTTTGCCCTCAGGTATCTATGAGGCTCTTGAATTAAGAGATGGAGGCTCTGACTATCTTGGAAAGGGTGTTTCCAAGGTAAGAAACTGACTATTATATGGGTAAAATTGGCCAAGCGAAAAGCTCGTGTTGACTGAGCTCTTGCTTCTTTTTTGTGTAGGCTGTTAACAATGTCAACTCTATTATTGCCCCTGCACTTATTGGCAAGGTTAGCTTCTATGGCGTCCTCTTTTTCATTTGATATTATTCGTTGGAAACCTTCTTAGGTTTAGATCTGTTTAAAGTTAAAACTAATTTCTGTCTTCTTCTACAGGATCCCACCGACCAAACTGCCATTGACAACTTCATGGTTCAGCAACTCGATGGTACTCAGAATGAGTGGGGTTGGTGCAAGCAAAAGGTATTGCTATTGCAAATTACACTTTCCCCTTTTTTTCCCGCACCTTTCCGTTTGTCATAAACTGATTGAAGTATCCTTCAGCTTGGTGCCAATGCCATCCTCGCGGTGTCCCTTGCCGTATGCAAGGCTGGTGCTGCTGTGAAAAACATTCCGCTTTACAAGGTCAGTTGTTTATTGCTTAGTTTTCGTGTTTGATAGGGTTATATTTTGTTGGCATACAACTTTTGCTTAACACTGCTTTTTCGCTTCATCTATGCACCCTTGCATTACATTTTATGGTTGGCATACGTAGCATATTGGTTGTATGTACTTCTCCTGAACAAACTGAGTCTTATTACTGCATTTGTTGTGTCTACTGCAGCACATTGCTAACTTGGCTGGTAACAAGAAGTTGGTCTTACCAGTGCCAGCTTTCAATGTTATCAATGGAGGATCACATGCAGGCAACAAACTTGCCATGCAGGTTTGTGTTTTGCTGCATAACTGTATCTCTTGTACTCTTGCTACAATCAATTGAAAATTGCTGTGCCTGACAATTTTTGTGATGCAGGAATTCATGATTCTTCCTGTTGGAGCTTCTTCATTCAAGGAGGCTATGAAGATGGGAGTTGAAGTTTATCACAACTTGAAGGTGCTTTAATCCCCAGGCTTGTTTGAGAAACTTGATAATCAAATGTGGCTGTAGAGCTGCATTTTTTTTGAAATGTTGTAATTTAAGATTGTAGCTGTATCCATGGTTGAATTTGTATAGTTTGCCATTGTCTAATTTCTAAGTCCAATTTCAGAGTGTGATTAAGAAGAAGTACGGCCAAGATGCAACTAATGTTGGTGACGAGGGTGGTTTTGCTCCTAACATCCAGGTAAATTCATGATTTTTGAATGTTGTCCACCCTATTGCATGTTTGAGCTTAGCCTTGAGCACACTTAAAATTTTGCGACTGCCGTTAAATATGCAGGAGAACAAGGAAGGTCTTGAATTGCTTAAGACTGCAATTGCTAAAGCTGGTTACACTGGCAAAGTAAGTATTATAGGTGATTGTGTTAAATCACTTGTGGCAATGTTCTAGTTAAGTTGATTTGTCTCTAGAGACTAAAAATTTGATTTTGATACACAGGTAGTTATTGGTATGGATGTTGCTGCTTCTGAGTTTTATGGTTCAGACAAGACTTATGATCTGAACTTCAAAGAAGAGGTACATGTTGCTGTTTACATATAATTGAGATTTTGGATTTCAGTGTTGTTAGGGCAAAAACTGTATTCGAACTTTTCAAGTGTTGTCACTATCTAAAATATGGCATCAATTATTCTGTTCTTTTTTTTTCTTGTGGTTAATAATTAATCTGCTCTCTCTTTTCAAAAGTTTTTTTTTTGTTTGGGATTTGTTCTCTTCTACCTACATTGTTTTCCTGCTTGGGCCGTTGGCCAAACTGAAAGTGTCTACACCTATCCCATGTTTGGTCTACACTGGCTTTTCTAGTGGACTGCCTTTTAAAATAACACCCCCCATCCAGCTATAAACATAGTTCACTTCGTGTATTTTAATTCGTTGAACAGTCTTGATGACAATAGGACCTAATTTGTGGGCGTTGACTTCCATTTTAATGTATGATTCTTGATCTATCATTGCATGATTGTTTGTGTCCTACAATTTGAACTCACTCTCTGTTTACTTGGTTTGGTGATATTTCAATACATTGAACAGTCTGTGTATCTAAGTAATATTTTGGTGCTATTGACTTCCCACTTAATGACGTTAGTCTTGATCCCTCTTTGCAGAACAATGATGGCTCACAGAAGATCTCAGGTGATCAGCTCAAAGATCTTTACAAGTCATTTGTGTCTGAGTACCCTATTGTTTCAATTGAAGATCCCTTTGACCAAGATGACTGGGAGCACTATGCCAAGATGACTAATGAAATTGGTAAACAAGTACAAATTGTTGGGGATGACCTCTTGGTTACCAATCCTAAGGTTAGTTCAATTTCCGCCTTCTGTTTCCTCTGTATCTACAGTACTGATGCAGCAACTTGGTAGTTTTCTTTTGTACCTTTGTTTTTAACTGTGGCTTATGGACTTCGTGCTTCCAGAGAGTCGAGAAGGCTATCAAGGAGAATACTTGCAATGCTCTTCTTCTGAAGGTATATTTAACTCTAGAATTAACCTTCAAAATTTTTTGAATACCCCTAATATACCCACTGAATTGTTGAATATAGCAATAAAATATTTTCAGTCTTGCCCCAGTAAGATTTTATATTGTTTGTTTGTCACACCTTGCCTCTGCCCCTGCTTGAGATGAAAGCAACTGACCTTTTTCTTTCTTTCCAGGTTAACCAAATTGGCTCTGTTACCGAGAGTATTGAAGCCGTAAGAATGTCTAAGAAGGCTGGTTGGGGTGTCATGGCCAGCCACCGCAGGTAAGGAAGTGAAACCCGTAAAGTTACCTTTTTTTGCTCCCTTGTTGGCAACTTTGTATCAGGGTAATGACTGTTGTCCTGTGTTGCAGTGGTGAAACTGAAGATACCTTCATTGCTGATCTCTCTGTGGGTTTGGCAACGGTAATGTTCTTATCCAGAGTTGAGTTGGGAAATATAATTTTAGTTCTCTTTAGCCAGCACCCAATAATTTTTTGTACTTGATGGAACTTTCAGGGTCAAATCAAGACTGGAGCTCCATGCCGATCAGAGCGGTTGGCCAAGTATAACCAGGTAAAACTATAAACATCTTTCCACCAATTTTCCCTTCATTTTGATGAAATTTTACTGTATCTACACATCAGCCTTCATACTTTTGGAGCCTTAATCAAAATTCTTTGCTGAAATGCAGCTTTTGAGAATTGAAGAGGAGCTTGGAGCTGATGCCATTTATGCTGGGGCAAGCTTCAGAGCACCAGTTGAGCCATACTAGAGTGAGTGATTAAACAGGAATCCGGAGTTTTTTGCGGCTGAATTCAGCTATTTAGCATGAACTAATCTTCTCATAGGACGTTGAATCTTTCTGAGGCTACTCCAATAATCATGCTAAAGCTTTTTGGTTTTACATACTTCGTCTTTGCTTCTCTTTTTTAATGTTAGTAAGATGGAAGGGTGTGAGAACTTTTGGCGTTTTTTTTTTTTTCCGTGTCTAGTGTGATACATTTTGATCACTTGGGCTTCCCTGTGGGATAAAACTCTTTAAACCGGTTACAATTATACTGCCTCTACTGGAACAGAAATTGGCAGGCTTTTTCGATCAGTTCTACACCCACAGTTCCACACACAATCATTTTGCCCATGAAAGTAATTTTATTCAGGCCACAGAAAATATATGGACAGACGGACCGTGGTTTGGTTTGCTCTGAGTTTATACTGATTGAACAATCCTTCCAGCATCAAGATAAACTCACAAGAGATAACAATGAACAAACTTTAAACTAACAAGAAATCGAGGAGTATTATTTGCTTTTTGGTCCAGAATTTCACAAATAAAAAAACTGTTCTTTTGAGCCGCTACTGGGTGGTAGAAACTTCGCACATTAAAAGGCCAGGCAATGAGTCAGCTGACTCGTTAGCAAAATTAGCATTTGAACTTAGCCCGGGTGTCACATTTTGTCCAACCCTCCTTTTGCAACCATACGGAAAATGGCTATAGATTGGTCAGATTCGTCTCACTCTTAATGAGTCGCTTTTGTATCTATGCTTCGGCACTCTCAGTATATATAAAAAAAAACTGTTCTGCGTAACAATGTTTGCTAACACATATATAAAGGAAAAACTACTACAAACCACACCCCCCGGAACACAAGCTTTCTTTGATCTCTGTTCTGGTTCTGAGTTTCATCAAAAGCCATTGAGCTTCACAACACCCATGGGAAGTTGGCTTTCTTTGATCTCTGCTCTGGTTCTGAGTTTCATCAAAAGCCATTGAGCTACGCAACCCACATAACAAGTTGACTACGAAAGAAAAGGATCTTTGCATTGTATCAAAACAACATTTATTTGATTCTTCTGTGTTTACTCTTCGAATTGAATTTATCAAAAAAAATAAAATAAATTGACACAGAATTTTTTACTTTTATTTTATAAATAACAAATTAGGCATATGATTTCAAAACCAAAGAGCTTTAAAAGGATGTCCCATAAAAATGAGGAGTTACCAGTAATTCAATGTCAGAAAACTTAATGAATTTTGAAAAATGATGTAATTTCAAACAAAAAAAAAATAGAAAACATAAAATATAAAAAAGTTGGTGATTTTACCAAAACAATTATTAGTTTCTAAAATAATTTTTTCCGTTGTTTCCTAAACCACCCTTAATTACTCCAACTTCCAAGCCCCAGTCCCAACTAGTTCATCATTTTTCTCACCCTTTTCCTATCCAACAATTTAACATAATCGTTCCTTTTGTGCACTTGTTTTAATTATTTGATATTTTTGGTTTAAATTGTGCTCACTATTAATTTCACGCATAAAGTTTTGAAATCGAGGAGTCTTCAATTTTTGTGGTTGTGTTTCCAGGGAAGAGTTCAAACTCTCGGTAGTATATATTTTTGCCTCAAGATCTTATAATCTTACCAGTTGTTCAATGAATTTGAAAATAAATTGGAAACAATTATTCCCACAATCTCTTTACTCCCAAACTTGAACCAAATAACTCTCATCTTCATCTAAGTGTTACAAAGTTGGATTCCAACTCTTAGCCCCGTGGCTTCTGGAAAAACAAAGAATATAATTCTTTGTACATTGAACACCATCAAAATTAAAAGAGTTTTAAATCAATTACAACACATTATAAAAAAAATCTTCAATAAGAAGTAAATTTTGTCTTTTGTTTGAATAGTAGGGCTTGTGTTGTCTATTTATTATTCTAGACTTGAAATTACAAGTTTTGCTATAGATTAGTTTCTATTTGAATTCATTGTTGGTTTAGGAAAAAGGAGGCAGGAGGCGGGAGGAGAGTGGTGTTTCGGAACAAACAAAGGGGTAGAATTGAGTGATGAATTAAAAGGAATTTTTTTGTCTCCTTACAACTAATATGTTTTTGGATGCTATTATTTGTTTTGGCAACATCATTACCCATGTAAAAAATGTCAAAAAAAAAAAACTCAAAGAGTTACCTATAATTCAATGTCAAAATTCGAAAAAAATAAAAAATAAAATAAAATAAAAATTTCAAAGAATTACCAATAATACAATGTCAAAATTCAAAAATAATAAAAAATATAATAATACTGGAGTTACCAATAATTTAATGTCAAAATTTTGGCTTGTCTTCTAGCTTTGCAAGATGCGGCAACCCTTGACTTGGATCGGATTCAGGTTTTCATTGATTGCGAGGTGCTCACAAATGATCGAACGTCTCCGTTGGTTCAATCAAAATCGCGCGAGGTTCTATTGTTATTAGATAACTTAATTTCTTCTTTTGAGGTATGTACACTGACTAACATGAGTAGGAATGATATAATAGAACAATAAATATAGCTTAGGATTTTACCTTAATTAATAATATAGGTATTCTTTTCCAAAAAAATGAATAAATATAGCTTACGATAATTAATAATATAGGTACCCTTTTCTAAAAAATAAAATATAGCTTAGGATAATTAATAATAGAGGTACCCTTTTCTTAAAAAAAATAAATAAATAAAATTAGCTTCGGATTAATAATAATATAGGTACCCTTTTCTAAAAAAATAAATAAATAAAATTATGCTGGGATAATTAATAATATAGGTACCTTTTCTAAAAAAATAAATTAAAAGAATAAATAAGTAAAATTAGCTTAGGATAATTATTAATATAGGTACCTTTTCTAAAAAAATAAATAAATAAAATTAGCTTAGGATAATTAATAATATAGGTACCCTTTTCTAAAAAAATAAATAAAAAAAGAAATAAAAATGCATTAAAAAAATAAATAAATAAAATTAGCTTAGGATGATTATTAATACAGGTACCTTTTCTAAAAAAATAAATAAATAAAATTAGCTTAGGATAATTAATAATATAGGTACTCTTTTCTAAAAAAAATAAATAAAAAAAGAAATAAAAATGCAATAAATTAAAAGAAATGAAATTATGCTGGCTATGGGGTTCGAACCCAATAAATAAAATTAGCTTAGGATAATTAATAATATAGGTACTCTTTTCTAAAACAATAAATAAACAAAAAAGAAATAAAAATGCAATAAATTAAAATTAAAAAAAAAAAGAAATAAAATTATGCTGGCTATGGGTTCGAACCCAATAAATAAAATTAGCTTAGGATAATTAATAATATAGGTACTTTTTTCTAAAACAAGAAATAAACAAAAAAGAAATAAAAATGCACTAAATTAAAATTAAAAAAAATAATAGAAATAAACAAAAAAGAAAAAAAAATGCAATAAATTAAAATTAAAAAAAAAAAGAAATAAAATTATGCTGGCTATGGGGTTCGAACCCATGCGCACTTATGTGCAGAAGATCTTAAGTCTTCCCCCTTAACCTCTCGGGCAAACCAGCTAGATGTTTTATTGGGTCCTGCATAATTTATTTATACAAAATCAACAAAATCAAACAAAACCTAACCCGGCAACTAATACCGACCCAGGCCGCTGCGAGGGAACATTTTCCTCAATTTCCGTGTCAAAATCACAGCAATAGAAACTTAGAACCCTAGTTTCACAACGTCCAGTCGGAAGACCCAATCTAGCCGATTGAGAAGCTCAGCAGAGTGAAAAGATTTCCTGCTCGCGATGGCGGAGCACTTGGCATCAATATTTGGGACGGAAAAGGACAGGGTGAATTGCCCTTTTTACTTCAAGATCGGAGCTTGCAGGCATGGCGACCGGTGTTCCAGACTCCACACCAAGCCCAGCATTAGCCCTACTTTATTGCTCTCCAACATGTACCAGCGGCCCGATATGATCACACCTGGTGTTGACCCTCAAGGCCAGCCGCTCGACCCCAAAAAAATCCAACACCATTTTGAGGATTTTTATGAAGATTTGTTTGAAGAGCTCAGCAAGTACGGCGAGATTCAGAACCTAAATATCTGCGATAATTTGGCCGACCACATGGTATTCTTATCTACCTCAATGAGGAAGCTTTGCAATTATCTGTCATGACTGTGCCTTAGGGTTTCAGGAACATTAATTAATAATTTCCACGTCTTTGTTTGTTTTCTCTTTGGTTGCAGGTGGGTAATGTCTATGTGCAGTTTAGAGAGGAAGATCATGCCGCCGCTGCCCTGCAGAATCTTAGTGGAAGGTTTTATGCTGGTTAGTTTTCTACCCAGCGTTTCATAGTTTTTAATGAGTGTTACACGAGTTTATCTTGTTATCTCAATCCATGGATTTGTATTGGTCTCTATCCTCCGTTAATCTGGGGTTTTGCAAGTGTTTTCATATTTTGTTGGAATGAAATAGAGTAATAGATAGAAATCATTGTCGACTTTTGCCATTTTGGTTAGCTTTTTCCTCATCTTCATAACAAATTCAGTGCCCAATATTTGATTAGCTATACTATCTTCTTTAATGTGCCAAATTGCTGATGGTGTTGTGTATGTGAAATACGTAGGACGTCCCATCATTGTGGACTTCTCTCCGGTGACTGATTTTCGTGAGGCTACTTGCCGGCAGTATGAGGAAAATGTTTGCAATAGAGGTGGCTACTGCAATTTCATGCATTTGAAAAAGATAAGCAGGTAAGTTGTACACATAGTGCAGTTCCTTTCCTCCCTTTTCCCTCTCATCTCTGACTTTGTACCAGTTCACTGCTGATGCATTTTTCGGTCTCTCCTTTCCCTTTGGGTCACAGAGAACTGAGACGGCAGTTATTTGGGAGGAGTAAGCGAAGGCGCAGTCGTAGTAGAAGCAGAAGTGCTAGTCCGCAGCGCCAGTCTCATTATGGGGACCGTCCACATGGAGGCCGTGGATCTGGTAGAAGAAGTGATTATCATTCTAGTGATAGGAGCAGGAGGCCTAGGAGTAGGAGTCCTGGACGAAGGGGTGGGCGCAGCCGAAGTCCAACTGGGAGGAGAAATAGGAGTCCAGTTAGGGAAGGAAGTGCTGAACGAAGGGCAATGATTGAGCAATGGAACAGGGAAAGGGAAAATGCAGATTCCAATAAAAGCTACAATGGAAGTCCCAGGGCAACAAGAAATAGGAGCCCTGTTAGGGAAGGCAGTGCTGAGAGAAGGGCTAAAATTGAGCAATGGAATAGGGAAAGAGAACAATCAGAATCAGGGAAACAGAACGGTGACGATAGTAATTATACTGGCACTGAAAATGGTGGCAGGGCTGGAGATTCATACCCTGATGACTATCAGGATTAGCATGATTAAATTATGTTCCCAAATGTAAGTTTATTTGTTGGCCATGCATACCATGATCCTTTTAACAGTTGGTTGCTTATCGTTTGACTTCCATTACTTGTGGCATTTCTTCATTATCCGTGCTGCATTTCACCTTGTTTTGGGGATGTGCATTTTCAAGAAAAGTTGGTCTGGTTTTGTATTCAATTGCTTGAAGCAAATTCAGTGATTACAGTTAGCTTTCAGGTTAGTTAATCAGATGCTGGTGTTTGATGTTGCATGATATTTCTTGTTCTATTAAGGATACACTCTTGTGATTAATTCTTTGTGAAAACACTGGCCAACCAGGTGTGGGTGGGTTAGTTTCTTAGTTGCAAGTTATTTTAGATAGCATGGTCTTGTTAATGTAGCTTACTGGAGCATTTTCCATTGCAGGCAGGTTTACTGGTTTGCTGTGATATACATAGAAGCAAAATCTCTTCTTGTCCTTCAATTATCCTATTCAAGAAAATGGCATCCATGTATATCTGATGTCCATCTTTAAGACATGAATTCCTATTGCATGACCCTCAATGTGTTGTCCTTTTTCTCTATTAGCTTGGAGGTGAGAAAGGCAACGGCTTGGTTGTTTTCTGTGTGTAGGTTGCCAGTATCAATTTCAAACTTTTAACATGAACCCCGATAAATATAAAATGTCGAGTCTCAGCCTTGTAAATGTGGCAATATGTTTCTTACTGTCAGGTAAGATCAAATGTACTAATTGGTACAAATACATGCTCGATGCTACTATATTTGCATATTTCATATTTGCAGAGATGCTGCACTAGATGTTTCTGAGGTTTTATTTTTTAGCTTGTGTGCCTTGTTGCACGTAATGTTCAAATTAGAACTATTTTTACCTCCTTCGCATGTTTCCTTTCATTTTTTATTTCATTCACTCTGGCCCTGGCTCAAATTGCATAGACATAGCACCTAATTTACATCTTCGAGTTAGAGATATTTGGATGGTTGCTGCATGTCACAAGAAGCATGCCCAAAAATTTATCTTAACCAAATACAGTAGTGCCTCCTTTGCCAATTTTCACTTGCAAGTATGCTGATGGAATACAAGAACGCAATATACTAGTTCAGGACTTGCATTTTTTCATCATGCCAATTCCAAGGTTTATGTTTCTTTTTTTCCAGGAGTGCATCAGGCATTCCTACGCAGTTCACATATATTGGAAGCAGCGTTGCAGGACATGTCGAAGCGTCCAAAGAAGAGAATGAGAAGATGTGTTTGTTTTGAAGAATTTTTATTAGTGTTGCAAGAAATTAGGTTTGCCATCAGACACCCAAAGATAGCCAGCTCGCAGTAGTGTATTATGTCTTGGGGGTATTACTATTTATGTTGTGTTCCTTCAAGTGAGCTGTCCTTTGACTAACTTGTTATGTGCGTTGGCTTAATCAGTATTTTCAGCGGATATGATGTTGATGATGCAAATTGACCTTTGATTGTACTTTTTACCATTGGGGTTGGAAGGTTATGACCAGATTGTAGCATGCGATTAGTCGTTTATTATGTTATGAGTCGTGCTTGTCAAGCAATACTTATTATTTGTAGAATTAAAATGGCATGTTGGGTATACTTTCCATTAGAATGAAAAAGTTGAGTTTGTAAGGTCATTCGTTCGGAAAGTTTCAAGGGGATAAGATTTGTTATTAATTTTTTTTTCATATCTAATTCATTGGCAAAATATAATAGTGTTCTTAACTAAAAAAATGTAATCAAATCGTCCCTAACTTAGGAAAGTGGATGATGAGATGTTCTCTTTTTCCGCTAATGAAGAATGGCTACTTCGGTGGCTGCAAGTGTAAGTTCGTTCTTCGCAGGTTGGTTTTCATTAGTACAAGTTTCGTTTGATTAGGATTGTGCTTTGCTTTTTGATTCACTTTTCTTCATTTTCTCTGTATCATTTCATAATGAACTATGTTACATGTATTTTCACCATACAGTATATAAGACAGCTTCAGAATATCTGATGGAACAACACTTGTTCGAATTGACATTAACAAGAAGAACAAACCCTAGCCGTAGGGCTTTAAAGACTTGAGTTTTGAAAAACTAATAGGCTGAAATTATATTCATATAAAACCTCATAAACAAAGCTGCAGAACTAGGTTCTGATTATTACAAAACCTACTAGATTACAATTTACAAATTACCTTAAACCAAACTAAACAATAAGGAAACAAACTGTTTTATCATCATGGATTAAAGCTAAACCCTTCCTGCATCAGAATCTAAGATCAAGGAAGCATAAAGTTTCAAGTCACGGCACGATCTGATCTGCCCGATATTCTTATACTCGTCTACATAATTTTGCACCGAAGACACTGGGTTTTGATGTTTGAAGGACATTAAGAAAGTGAGATAATGAAAGAATTTCAAGTGAGACTATGATTATTTTTTTAATATTCTGCATTAAGAAAAAAAACCTCAGTTGTAATAAAGTATGAATTTCTGAAAACACGAACATGGCTAATATCAACTCTTGAGACTTGAAATCAGTTGTAGGAAATCACACTGTCTGGCTTGTAGAATCCTTCCACCAGGAATTTTTATAGCAATTCTTTATAACTTTGAACAGTGATGTAAAAGGGGAAAAAAAAAAAATAAAAAGCGATGTTTTGCTGCTTTTTTAAGCTGAATAGACCTAGGGTTAAATCAACTTTGCAACATGTGTCATTTTAGGACCATCTGCACAGCAGAACGAAAGTTATATTTCTTTCTGCTTATTACAGGTGATGTCTGGTCGCGCAATGCACGATCCTGGTCCAGTCTATGTGTAGATCTTAGAAATATTTATATTTGAAAAAAATAAAATTTTGTATTTGTAGCGATATAATTTAGAAATGTTTGAAGGATTTAGAAATGTTTTATAAGTGTGATCATAGAAATATTTGTATTTCGTAAAAAAAAAAAAAAATTGTATTTCGCCATGTATGTTTTAGAAATGTTTTATAAGTGTTACTTATTAAATATAAATAGCTTAATCGAATATATGTATTGAAGTAAATGTTAGATAAAATATAAAAGCATCCTAATAAATTTAAATATTAGTAAGATGATTTATTGATGTTCTCTATTGGTCGTGCCAAATCAATACTTAGTTTTAGAGATTTTTAATAGCTTTGTAATAAGTTTCATACGAAGGGTATACGCTTAAAACAAAATTGACACTTTGTAACAAAAAATCTAATTGATCAATTCAATTTAAAAAACCACTCTAGTTGAATGAAACATAAAGAAAAAATTTAAAAAAAAAAACGTGTCACGTAAAGTGCAAAGGGACATTTAGTAATTTAGTTATGGTTAGACAAAAGGGCAATTTAGTATTTTTCACATACCACGTGTCAATCATATGAGGTGTTTGAAAGGGAGGTTTTGTTTCTAATATAGTAGGATGTTAATCCTACAATGAAGAGCTTCAGTCGGAGTACTAAAGAGCTTAAGGACAGATAAAGACACCGGAAACCGGCGTGTGCGGAACGCCCCCAAGAAAGACGGCGAGGAAGGAGGCTGAATGGCCATGTGTTGCGAGTTTGTTGCTTGTTTCTTATTTGAGAAGGCCTGATAAGATAAGATTTTCAATGTATTTTGCAGCGCGCCTATTTTTATTTTTTATTTTTAAAAAAGTAGTTGCTAAGGAATCTGGCAACATTGAAAATGGATTTCAGTCTAAATTCTTTTTTCTGAGAACACAAGCTGGTAAGGAGTAATCTCCCTCAGTAGAACAAAATTTGATGTTAGCAATTTTGTGTGTACTAATATCCAACCTTTCTACTGGAGTGTGTCTTGCAAATTCTGGCAACAATTTGGAATGATATCAAGAGCTGTGTTCCAAAGAAAATAAATATCTAGTCAGTGGATTTTTCCACTGAAGTTTTTCTCAAAAATACCGGAAAAAAGAAAATTTCTTCCGGCCTGAATTGTCATTATTCATATTAGAATGCTTCCGGCCTGAATTATCATTATTCATATTAGAAAGCTCTATACATTAGGAAATTCATCAATTTACGAGATGCAAATCACAGTTTTTTGAAAGAAAAAAAAAAAAAAAGATGCAAATTGCAAGCTCACAACCTTTCAAATTAAACTGAGGCTTGATCACTAAACAAATCAAACAAAAACACAGACCAACCCACTTGTCATGAAGAAGAAATTGGCAACTTTAAATTCCATAAAAACATCTCATCTTAAAAAGAGCATAACAATTAGTAATAATCATTCGACCCACCCATTCACCCAATGCCGCAGTTCACAGGAACGGATAAAATACTAGCAATTCAAAATCTCAACTTTACATCAGCTGAATTACCCTACCAAAACGATCAGCTGTATAAGGTCCCCACCAAAAGAAACTTTAATGATTTCATATACTACTACTAGTTTCCAGACTTTGCAGCACTGTGCTTTGCCTTGGTGTGGGATTCCAATGCATTTTCAGAGTTGAATGACCTGTGAGGCGAAAACACGAATGTCAGTAAATTTGCTTAAAGAAACCAAAACTCCATAAGAGAAAGAAGAATAAGACTAAGAGAGGAAAATCTACCTGTTGCAAGTCTTGCAAGAGTGGGATCCTGCAGATTTAGGAGTCTGCTGATTCTTGTTAGCAGCAGGTGTTTTCCCAGCTTGTTTTGAAGGGTAGGGAGTAGCAACATGTGGCGCCTTCTTGCCATCTACACCAATAGTTGAAATGGTTATAGTACACGAATTTGTTCCCAAGGTTTAAATATCCTATAAAATCAGGAAAGAGAAGACATTATATTGCTAATATCTGAAAACAAAATCTCACCAGTTTTTTGAGGAGTGGAAAGTTTTGCTTTCTTATCCTGTCCAGGAGTTTTGAGATCTGAATCAGCACCTCTTTTCTTACTTGTTTCAGCCTTTTCCAGAGCAACACAAATACGCAGAGAATAAGCACAGAGAAATGCAGAACAATCTATTCAATTCAAAGGCAGCGAATATGCTGCAGTACCTTCTTTGGTGTCTCTTCTTCTTCACTGTCATCTGATTCATCATCTTCAGAGTCACTGCCATCGGATTCCTGAATGTGGAAAGCAATGTAGAAATAATCAGGTAAGCAACATCTCTGATGATAACAAGGTTTGCAAACCAGATATAAAAGATAACTGATTTAAATTCCCCATGACACAGAATATAAATAGAAGAGTAATAAAACAAAGTTACAACGATCCAACTTCACACAATACAAGAACATATGAAAGAGTGCTTAGAATTTATTTGACAATCAGAACTTACTGAAGGTGAATAAATCCATTTCTCTGTAACTAAGAACTGATTTGGGTGTTATATCAAACCATAACCAACCAAAAAAAACCATGACTACAAATGGAGAATAAGCAGAAAAGACCAGCCTCTGTTTATCTAAAAATCATCAAACTATAACCAGCCAAAACAACCATGACTCAGTTTCAACACATACAAAAGGCCCAAACATCACCTTGCATACACTATATGGCATCACTTGCATATGATGTTTAGCCAAGCGACAATTGATAACTCAATTAGAAATAAATATTTTCTATGCTTACAAAAGAAAAATCCAACTGATTGACAAACCCAATTACACAGCTCTTTAACAAATACAGCATTTAGATTAAAATATAGCATTGCAGAACTCAAAACAAATGTCAGCCGATAGATCTATACAGCAAATTTGAAATTTAGTACCTCGCCCTCATCTTCAGACATTGAATCGTCTTCCTCACTAGACTCATCATCTTCGTCAGCTTTAGGGGTTGGTTCCACAATCTTCACTTTCTGCTTACCAGCACCAGTGTCCTTCTCAGCATTAGCCTTCTTGGCATTAGCAGGCTTTTCTTCATTTGCTTTGGTCACAGCATTACCTGAAAATCATGAGCAAGCCAAAAACCGTCATTGTTGTATGCAAGGATTATCACTCTAGTATAAAAACAAACGTACAAATCATAAATGGAATTTCAGCATACCGTTGTCAGCAAGAGTAAGCGGGATGTCATCATCAGAAGATGATTCTGTAATTAGAAGCAGACATGTTAAAATTGAAGTGAACTAAATAAATGATTAAACAAATTGATCAAAAAGAAAATGAATGTATACTAACCATCATAATCAAAATCATCGTCCTCAGTGGCCAACACATTAGTGTTAAGGTAAAAAACACACTCAGTCTTTTAGAATTATAATTTGCAGATATAATTAAAAAGAAAAGGTGTAAAACGGTTCGATTCGAAGGATATTCTTCAAAAGGGTTCTTGGCAATGTAACCATAGAAGTAGACACTGCCACTTTTCCAGTTATGAGAGAGTTCCAGTTCCTTGTCAAAAACCAAGTCTAGTTGTTGTTGTGGCAACTTCTCAGAGACAAGTGTCGCAAGAACAAGCTTCTGTCCACCAACATTCAAAAACAAGGGAACAGATTCGTTGGCCTTTTTGTAATCTCCAAGAGAAGCCTGCATTAAAAATTCACAGGGTTTGGATATAGAATCAAATGAGGTCTAACAATAAGAAAATATCTAAAACAGTAAAACTTATGCCTGTGACATATGCAAAACCATGCCCTCAGGAAGCCTAACTCTGAGGGGCTCTCCACTCTTCACTTCAACACCTGGAGCAAATCACTTTATGTTAGCCAAAAATATCAAAGCCCCTGGGATTTTTGAACTTAAATAGGTTTGAAAGCAGTAGACAGCCTGGTTCCTATCCGTTGTGGTAAAGGAAAACTTGTAGTTGGGGACCAACAAGCTGGAAAAACAACTATTGCTATTGACAGCATATCAAACCAAAAGCAAATGATCATTGTCATACATCCAGGTCACATCAAAATGAACGAATGAGTATTCCCTTATTCATTTTACCCTTTACTCCTGTTCTTCAGGGGACAACAAACATAATTTGACATGGTGTCCAATGCAGCCATACTTCAACTAGCCTTTGAGTGTGTTTCCTCCAGAGACATGTTACCCTAAGGTAGGTACTCTTAAGGGTAAGTAGAGACATGTTACCCTAAGGTAGGTACTCTTAAGGGTGTGTTATAGCAAGCATGAGGAGATAAAAACAGTAATGACCATACAGGTAACCAGAGATATAATCGTTAAGGCTGCAAAGCAACATCAGACGCCCCAAATCACATTGTTTAGCCAGGCCAATTATTTAAATTAATTTCAATTTCATGAAATTCAGCAGATATTTCAAAAATAATCACGAACCCACTATGAATATAAACAGGTTAAAAAAAAAAGAGATAAATCAATACTTAACATTCAGCACTGAATATAATCTCCAACAGAAAGAAACGTTCAGCTACAGATAAAATCTTCAACATCAACAGAATCTAAAAACAAATACTCGAATTTGGAGAACACATGAAGTATATCAATATGCTTTCCCTACTGCTCCCGTAAAAGTTATAATCCACCTCTTAAAACGCTTCCAAACGGAAACAGATAAAAAATGATATTCGTTCTCTAATGCAAGAACAAATACACAGTAAAACTCTTTCGACATCACTCCAGAAGAAGCAGGAAAGACGTTTGCAAAGAAACAAAATATCATCAGAAGCGAGCCAAAAAAACTACAGCTAAACGACGCTAACAAGACTTTCTCTCCCGCCGTGAAGATACCGGCGGGGCAGAAACAAGAACGAAAGAGCATAAAAGAGCAAGGATAAATGTGATTTACCCCAAAACTCCATTGCTAAACAAGATGAAGACGAAGGTTGATACTGGTTAGGGCTTTAGAGAAGAGCGGTGGCGTAGGGTTTATCAGAGAGTGTGACAGCAAGAAAACAGTACAGAGAATTTTCTAGGGTTAATTGAAAATGAGGCTTTTATTATAAGAGAAGAGAAGAAGAAGAAGGGCCAGGTGGAGGATATGATAGAGTGCTTCGCGACCACAGGAGCTTAACATAGACTTTTTATTTGAAATTATGGGCCTCATTTACAATTAATTCGGCTTCACCAGCCCAACATATTTTTATATTTCAACAGCCCAACAAATACCGAACGAAACTCATTCCTCTTTCGGCAGTAAAAATTTACATTTGATTGGATTGAGACTTGAGAGATAGTGAAAATCCTTATGTGAACAATATGAATCTTTTTTTCTTTCTTTCGAACAAATTTAAAATTGAAGTTTTTATATCAAATCATGCTAGGTCTAGTGTTTTTTTTTTAATAAAAGAAACTGTCATTAACTTTATTGAAAAACGTCCAACCACGATTAATAGAGGATTACAATCACTAATATATTACAATCGATTAGAATTGTAAAAGTAAGAATCAACCGATCTATACAGCAGATGACCAAGTCACAAACTCTTCCATAGCATCCGCAAATATTTGTTGAAAGTATCACATACCAAATAATAACTCCGATCTCGAATACTTCACTTATCATCAGATGAAGGCCCACAAAAGTATATCTAAAACATTGATCTACTTTGTCCGTGAATTCTCGAACGTAAATCATGACAGTAAAATCATGGACAAAATCATAGACTATAGATCACATACTACTAAATTACAATCAATAGAGCGAGATATATTAACAAACTACTAACATATCAAGATACTAATAATACAAGGCCAGCAAAATCAAAGATATACTGATGGCTAAATTTATTCATAAATTACTAAAAAGAAAGAGAGACGATTATCCCCATCCTCCCATGGAAGGGGAGATGAGGAAGAAAATTAAACTGGAGAAAAATAATAAGAGACAAGAAAAAAAAAAGAGAATAATTATCCAATTTGTCAATTAGTGAAGGGAATGAGATGGAGACGGCGCTAAAAGAATCAAGAAACAATAAAATAAATCTCCTGTTTTTGAAGACTAATTAATATAAATTTCATAGATATGTAGAAATTGATGAAGAAGGAAAGATGAGAGGAAGAAGAGTAAAATAGTTCTTATTGATTCAACCAGATTACTTGTACCTGAGTATTTAGAATTCATACATAATCTTTGATTCTCTTTGGTTAGTTAATATACATTTTCTTAAAAATATATTATTCATCTACTGCACACAATACTAGTTACTCGTACCATCTATAATAGACCGATATATGTATAAGTGCACATTCACATGTGATTGTATACTCGAGTTAAATTTTCCACACTTATTAATCTCACTCCCAAGTCTCATGACTTCATTTAATTTACTCAATTCCATTGTGCTATTTACACACTTTTTTCACTCAAAGCGTTTTTTTTTTTCACAGAATGAAAATTCCATTTTTTTCCCCCCTTTTTGTTGTCTACATTCTATTTCACTCGACTTCTGTCTCAGATACCTTCAACATTTTTGCTGTGAACCATATGTATCCAAACAGTTTTATCTTGAAGTTACATTTCTGCGCCAAATAAATAAATAAAGAAGAATTACATTTTGTTTGGGACTAAGGTTTTTTTTTTCTAACTTATTTATCGTCATCATTTTAAAACTCTTTTATTTATAGATGATGACGTTATTGGAGACATACCAAATGTAAAAAGATAATCGAAAAAAATGTTAAAAAAAATTGTATGAAAAGTTACAAATGTACTAATGAAATGTAGAATAATAAATTAAATAAAGAATTGAATCAAATATTGGACTTCTTCCGTCCTGACATGATTGTTTAACTTTAATAAAAAAATAAAATAAAAAAAGAAAATATAAATTAGACAATAATTTTGAGACAAAGGGAATAGAAGAGAAAAGTTGAGGTTTGTGACGGACAAAAAATTGGGCTCGAGGAAGTGAAAGTTTTTGCGAAAATAGGAGCTTAAATGGACTTCCATTAAAGTCTAGAGCCTAGTCCACCCTAGAATATCGTTGGCCAGCCCACCAACACCAAACAAAACTTTAATAAAAATGAAAAGCAAAAGATTAATATTGAAAATAGTCAGTCGATTTCAGCAGCCTTTTCCTAGCTAGTATCGTTGGATTTGACAGCAAGAACACGCAGTAATTTAAGAAGAAAAGAGTGCAAGTGGACTGCACGATTCATCCAGCAGGAATTAGCGGGAGACACAGAGATGGATCTGGATTCCCTTCTCAACTCCCTGATTCCCTCTTGGATCTCCGTCTGTCCTTTGCTCCCTTTGTGTTTTTCTCATGCATTTTTTTACATTGAAAATGGTCGTCATTTTATTACTTAGCATTAGCAGTATGGAACAGGCAATCCTGATACATCAATTGGCCATGTTTACTGATGATATTCTATAATGGGTGCTTTGGTTTTTTACAGGTTGGTTTGCTACTATCTTACTTCGCTTACTTGGCAATCGCTGGATCTTTTCTTCCGGGGAAGATAGTTCCTGGGGTCCCTTTAACTGATGGCACTCGCCTACACTATCGATGCAACGGTTGGTTACCTCTTCCTCTCTTTCTCTCTGTTTCTGATGTTTTGTTGAATTATTGAGTTCCAATTCAAGATTTTACATTTCGATGTTACTTGTTTCTCTAATGGGCTCAGGTTTGCTACTGCTTCTTGTATTGGTTGCCCTTCTTGGAGTTGGAATCCAAATGGACGTTGTATCTCCTACGGTTGGTGTAATCAGCTTTTAGTTAGAAATCCTGTTATGTATTCCTTTTTTCTATTGGATGAGATGATGAGACTAGTTTATTCTTGGTGATTGTTTTGCAGGTAATAGCAGATAGGGGTCTTGAGCTTTTGTCAACCACATTTATATTCACTATCTTTGTAAGTGTCAATCTTCTCCTTCATAGAAATAAGTTATTTCATTCTGAAGCATCGGCAGTTATATTCATGAGAGGAAGGTGTCTGTTAATAATGATGGAACTCTGTGTTTAGGAATTACCTTGTTGCTACTTTCTTTTCTCTTTGAACTTGCACTCTTTCGAAATGCATATTTATTGCAGGTGTTAATGCTAGCACTCGTCTCTGATTCTTATCAGTTATTTACTTATGTAATTGTCAGGTGATGTTCCTGCTGTATATTGCTGGCTCTAGGTCAACTGATCGGAGCTCTTCTCTGAAGCCTCATGTCAACGGAAACTTTATTCTGGACTGGTAATTATTTCATCTGTAAATTGCTGCAAATATACTTTTTAGATCGGTGAAGTTTATCTTCTGCATTCATCCATCTGAAAATGTTACTTGAACAGTGATTATATTTATTTATGAAAATTTGTCTGCTCTAGGTTGCGATTAACATCTGTTTTGGTGGGTCAAGATTCTTAGTTAACTACTTTGATCATGTCTTGTACACTTTCTTCTGGTCTCCTGAGGTTCCTTATTGTCCAAATCTGCAGAAATCTAAGGTTGGAGCCTGATTATCCAAAATGTTTAACTGTTCTTTTAAAGGCATAATATATATTGCGAAACCAATGATGTATGGGTATTGGATTGAAATTCTTCTTGCTGCATGCATGAAACATAGATTTTTTTGGTACTTCTTTTGGATACTTTGGTAATGCCCCAATTATGATTCCAATCTGCTTTAACCCCTTTGTATTGCTATTAAATTACTGGGGATTCCAACCAATCAGCCACTAGTGGGTACCCTAGTTGTTTAACTGTTGCTGATTACTTGTGATCCTTAAGAGAAACAACTTTCCCTTTAAGATTTTGTCAATCAATTTAGTCTCCAAATACTCTCAATAACCTGAAGCAAAGTTTAAAATCAGTTTTCTCTGAAGTTCTTCTTGAATTTCTCTTATGTCCAATGTAATTTGCGTGATTAAGTTCAATTATCCATCTTCATATATTTGCTATTTGGCTGTCATGTACAGGTGGTTCGGTGTACAACTCAATCCTCAATTCATGGGCATTGACCTCAAGTATGTACTGTCTGTCTGTGATTCGGTCGTGTAACTTTGTCTATTCACATGTAATCATTCAATGCGACCATTCCATAACACATTCTTCTTCACTCTCAGATCCTTGTCCTTTTCTTCACATCGCATATGCCTGTTTCCATACTTTTAAAGTTGATGATGACATATTTGTGTTTTAATAGTTTTAAGTTTTAACTGTTACATCTCAGCACACTTTTCAGTAATCATCATCTTTTTTTTCTTGTAGATTTTTCTTTGTTAGAGCTGGAATGATGGGTTGGTTGCTCATTAATCTCTCTGTCCTCGCTAAATCTGTTCAAGAGTCCGACTTAACACAGTCAATGATCCTATACCAGATATTTTGTGCGGTAGGTTAATTTTTCCTGGATATGTTAATTTTATAGAAGACATTTTCTCAGTATCTGAAGTGAGATATTCTTTTGTGTGTATTTGCAGATATACATTTTTGACTACTTTTTCCATGAGGAGTTCATGACCTCAACGTAAGTAAATTAGTCGTCTCTTTTCTGAAGCTTACACTGTGCAAAATTTGATTCTAGTCGTTTCATTATTCACTTGTCTTCTTACTCCGTGCATATTCCATGGCCATATATCCCTTTTTGCATGAAATATAGTCCAGAAAATTTCAACCTTGACTTTCATGTAGCGCCAACATGCTGAAACAGTTTTGTAAAAGTGATCTGTAGGCTTGTACAAAATGTTGGCTTGTGGGCTTAATATAATCGGCCTTTTACCAAAAATGGAAAATCAACCTGGGATTAAGAGCCCAAGTTATAGCAGATGTTGCTTTTAGGTAGGCAATGAGCGAGGGAAGATACTATTAATCCTCATATCAGTTTCTTTGAGCTGTCCATCTGCTTTTTCATTTCTTCCTGCTGATTTTTTCTCTCTCGCCAACTTGATTTTATTGGTTTCAACTCCCTCTGATTGGTGCCTTCCCTCAAGACCATGATAATGTCTGACCATGTGTTTGTTTTACCACTGTTAGTCTTACATACTCTACAAGAAAGGGCAATTCAGATTTAATCCTCTTTCACTTTCTGGTAACTACTTTGTGCATGGTTTTGAAGTTGGCCAAATAATGCTTTTTGGTGATGGTTTGACATGAAAGCTAGGTCTCGAGGCCTTGAAATATGAAATACTAAAGAAATTTCTGTCGTATTGTTGTACAGTAGCACTTTAGCTCCAAACTAATATAGCTTTTATGATTCCACTGTGACTATTTTCCTATATTGTGAAGCTTAGGCAAATAGTCAAATAGTAAATATTCTAATAATTTCATTGTATCAGATATGCCTGTGCATTCATTTCTTATTAAGTGTTTGGTAAAAGTTTTCTTTATCATTCACCGATCACCGTTGAAATCTTTTGAGCTCATTTCTTTATGCCTTCTTATTCATTGTAGATGGGATATAATTGCAGAAAGACTGGGGTTTATGCTGGTTTTTGGAGATCTAGTTTGGATTCCATTTACTTTCAGTATCCAGGCATGTGACTTTAAGATGCTGTTGTTCTTGTCAAACATATGGTTCTTTATCTGTTTTCTCTTATCGGGAACTGTGAGGCAGTCTCTTTTTTATAAAGATGGCGATTTGTATACAAAGTCTTTGGTCCCAAATGCCTGCACTAAAATTGATGTATACAGCATGTACGGATGGTTCAGAATGTAGGTTGATTTACATTATGTTAGATCTTGCCTTCAATCAATGTTTATTTGCACTTTTAATGTACTGGAACGGTGAGACTTTGCCCTTAAGTTTTAGTTTTTGGATATTCAAAAAGCTCCCGCCCTTCTTTATCTCGAAAGATGGGGTGTCCCCTCCCACCAGGGCCCGCTATGCCAAAAGCGAGAGAAACCCCATCCCTCGTTCTTGATGTATGACGTAGATAGCACTGTGAATTAATGGTGCCGAGTCATGGTTCAGATTGCAAAAGTATTTGATTAGACCTTTATAAACTTCTTTCAGATTGATGCTACTCATGTTCTGAAACATGTGAGACAATTCAACCATCCTGAAACATGCTACTCAAGACAACAGACTTGTTCAAATGATACTTTGATTACCGCATAAGTTTAGTCTCTCAGAGTTCAGTTATTACAATCTGGGTTACTTGTGCTTTCTTCTCAAAATTATCCAGTTCTTCAAATGTTTGTTTTCGACATAATTTGTACGATGATAAATTTTATGTGAGTAAATGTTCACGGTCTTAAAGTTGTATATTCATTTTTTACATTATTTCCTTTCTAACAGGCTTGGTGGTTGTTGGGTAACAAAGTGGAGCTGACAACAGCTGCAGTTGTTGCAAATTGCTTTGTCTTCCTGATTGGGTAATGATTCTTAAGCCGTTCCAATCAGTTATTCCAATCGCATGTAACTGATCCTTTTTTAATGCACTACATTAGAATTGATCCCCTTTAACACGGTGCACTGTTCTGCATTGAAGTTATCTTGTGTTTAGAGGAGCCAACAAACAGAAGCATGTTTTCAAAAAGGATCCCAAAGCACCTATCTGGGGTAAGCCACCGAAAGTTATTGGGGGAAAGTTGCTTGCTTCGGGTTATTGGTAAGCTTTCTATTTGACTTGATATTTGAGACTCCTGTCCTTGAGTATAGAATGAATTATGAACTTGAGTTTCTTACTTTTATGTTGATATTATCCCATTAGCTCTGTTGGGTACTTTGGTCCTCAAATGCAAAAATCTTCTTTTCAACCTTACTTTTCAATTAATATCAACTACTATTCAAACTGATGCATGTAGTAATATCCTAGTTGGCTTATGATTTCTGTATTTGGTAAATCTGAGTCATCATCAGTTGAGGTAAGAATATAAGAGAAAATTACATTTGCCACCTGGGCAATCGGCATTTGAACAGTGTAGCCATTGTTCTAGCAAAGGTTGCACATGTCTGAAGACTGAAGAGTCCTGATAAATGCCTATTTGATGATCTAAAAGTGTTACATTTGTGTGCGATTTGTTTAATGATCAATTGCTTGTTGCTGTCCATTTGAAGGGGCATTGCTAGACACAGTAACTACCTCGGGGATCTGTTGGTGGCCCTATCATTGAGCTTACCTTGTGGTATAAGGTAAGAGTGGTTCTCATTCATACTGTAGTACTGTATACCATGGTCACATGTAGTCAGTAGCTAATTCCTGATTAAATTTATGCTGATGTAGTTCTCCGGTGCCGTACTTCTACCCTATATATCTTTTCATTCTGCTAATATGGAGAGAAAGAAGAGATGAAGCTCGTTGTGCCGAGAAGTATAGAGAAGTTTGGAAAGAGTATTGCAAACTTGTCCCTTGGAGGATATTCCCGTATATTTATTAGCTCAACTCAAACCAACAGCTCAATGTTTGGATTAGGGGGGTAGGAAAGGCGTTCTTGATCTTTAAACATATGTTTCAATAGAGGATTAGCACTTCATGGAGCATTGCGTTTATGGTAGAAAATAACTGTTGTTGTACATTATTGTGCTGTACAAATTGATTCCGAAACTACTGAATGATAGATTTTCCATCAGTTTCTTTTGGTACCAAAATCGTGCTTTAAACTGATGGATCAAATGTCTGTTTCGGCCTTTTGGAAGTTGGGATTTTGTCAAGGAGGACAGCATTATGCAATTCAGGTTTTTTTTTTCTTGTTTTTTTTTTAAACTTCTAAAAATGTTGATACAACTTTTTTTTTTTTAGCTGTTTTTACTTTTTAGTACTACAACTCATGATATACACACTTTTGAAACGGAAACCACATCTAAAAGCAGCAGAAAAATAAAAATCACCGAAAACTCATGAAACGGGCACAGAAATTGTTGGTCTGTATTAGGACCCAATAATGGACTTCTATTACTCCATTAATTTATTCGAAGACAAAAATTTAGGTGGTTGTTGAGTTAGTAAGGTTATTTCATAAGGGCAAATTTGTATTAAAGTTTATTTAACAAAATAACTATTTTATTAAATTTATTAAACATTATAGGGTAATATTCTAACTAACCTTTTATAAAAAGAATTATTAAAATAATAACGATGATTTGACATATGATCCATATTTTAAAATTGCGGATTAATTTGCTAGTTATTCTTGATTGGTACTTGTGGTCTTGTAAGTCAACTATTCTTAGTTGCACCTGATTGATGATGGATACTGTTGTGATTCTGATTGCGGCCTATGTTACCGTACCAAAAGTGTTGAAAAAAAGAGGCTTGCCTTGGCGGCGGGAAGCATATTTTGTTGTTGGTTTGACTTAAAAGTCGAGGGTATCATTGTCATTAGGCTGATTTATCAGTAAATAAATGGGAACTGACTCCAAGTCCCATCAAAGAAGTAATATCCCTTTGTGGCTGTGCTTAGTGTGTGAACCATGTTAGACATTGTATTATTATTGTCTTCGTTGGTTTGGCTGCAGCGAATCTGTATCGTTCCAATATTATCGGATGTTGGATATCGCCAAAGGAACCTATCCAATGCAGTCATGTCTTCGAATTTTTTTTTCTTTTTCTTTTATCATTCTTTGAAATTGTGGTTATATAAACGAAGAGAACTTCAGAAACTTTTACCTTGTCAGAAAAGATCTCACCAAAAATAAGTGAAAGGCAATAGTTTGTAACACTAGGACAACACCTTTTTCCGGTCCCAATAATTACATAAACATAATTTTTATTAGTTTAAATTTATCTTCTAGAAATATATACAAATCAATAAATCGATGTTTAATAGAACCCGATGTTTAGGTTTTGTAATTGAAACCTTAAAAAGATTGTTTAAACAAGTTTGTGTTTGGAAATTGATGAAGTCCATATATACTACTATACAACTACAAACAGGTAAGATCTGGGTAAGGATTGGGAATTTGTAGCCAAGCAAACAAAATTGATGGTCTCGGAAATCGTCTGTATTGTTAACAAGTAACAATAAATCAAAGTTTTACTGCACTTCCTGCCGGCCACTAATTAACTGTGGTTTCTGTATTCTGCTGTTTGGCCTTATTCTCGCACCCACAGAGGTTTATTTTCTAGCATCTTGCGTATTCAGGCACCCCCTCACTTTAATGCCTATTTATCTATAAGCAGTTGTTGCGTGGAAGGTTTGTGATACTCTCGTGTTTCTTACTCTCACACTACAAAATCCCATTATACCGAGATTCAGCATATATGCTGTTTCTCAATGAAGTAGGCCAAATGTCTACAATCGTGTGATAAGATATGGTGTTACAACTACAACTACGGTTTAAATTGCATCTTGTTTTGAATAAACAAGGATGTGGTTCATTTGTTAACTTCTGAATTATAGACATTTTCTCTCCCTTTTTCTTTTTTCTTTTTTTTTGTGGTTGAGAAAAATTTATATACATTTCAAAGTCAAAATATGACGGGTCACTTTTTTCCTTTTTAATTAGTTATGGGTAACTCGCTGGTCTATATATAGTCTCGGCACCATGAATTTATAGGACCAACAAAACCCAAGAGACATCCAAAAACTGCCAACAAATGTCATCGACTTTTATCAGTGTCATCGTGAAAGAGAGGGTACGTGCCTATTTGCGCTTAGATGTGGGTAATTTGAGTAAGACTTGAGGTTTTTTGATACCCCGGTGCCAGACGGCCAACCCTGCGGGGTCACTCGAAGTCTGTTTACTCTCGACCAGCCAGCCAGAAAAACCCTTTCCACGTTGTTTAGTTACACTTTTGACCGCCTTATTAACATGGATGTTTTAACTTTTCTCGGAGCCCCAATAAGGCAATAATGAAAATGTTGGCCAAGTCGATCGGAGGCTGCCCTACTAAAAATGGCAAATCGGCCATCATCGATCGTTCCCACTTAATTTTCCCTCCTCTTATATTAAAACATATCCAAAGACATCAGCTCCATCCCCGGCGGCGCCGCGGCCAACCGCCATCGATCCATATGTCACGGACAGTTTTCTTCACCACGAATTCGGGTGGTTTGATGCGAAACGGGCTATTTTCGTAGACGGACATGGGACGGAACGGTCTAGAGCCTTGTGGAATTCTCCAGTCAAATCTTGAAGACTCTGGAATTTTCTAGAGAAGCCCGGAACTCTCTAGAAACGAGTGGAACCGTGTGGAAGCTACCCGAGTTTGCTAGAACCGTGTGGAAGATTCTAGAGACTTGTAGATATTTTGAACTTAGAATATTTTATTGTATGAATTCTCTAGAATCCCATTATTTTATTATGTACATAGAATTCTCTAGAATTCTTTAGGACTTGGGGGTTTGCCTATAAATACCCCATGCCCCCCCCTTCATTTGTAACCATCCAAGCTTTGAGTAGAGTTCTCAAGCATTCCTTAAGCTCTCTTGTGCCTTCATCATTCTTTCACTTTCGACCTTTCTTAAGTTTTTCTTTGCCTCCGTTCTTTAAAGTCTTGTCTAGCTTTGCACGCTTTGGGGGTCTTAAGGCTGAGCTAGCACTTGATCGTTAGTTGTTTTGTGCTAGTGCCGCACGGCCGTTACTTTGAAAAAGTAAGCCCGTGACAGTTGGTATCAGAGCCTCGGCTCGATACTTGGTGTGCTACCTCGTCTACGCTTCCGTTTGATAGTTTTCTTTCGTGCATAAGCTATGTCCAACCCTTCGGAGGTCGTTCAAGGGTCGGAGCTTGAGGGGGATCACGTTTCCCGCGAGGTGGGGAGGACCACCCGCAAAGGAAGCCGCAAGGAGAAGTCGGTCGTTAGGGAGCCGATGGTGGAATTTGAGAAACGGCTTGCCAAGCTAGAGCTTCTTGTGGCTGACCACCAAGACCGTTGGGACGAGCACCCCGAGGTGGTAGCGGGGTCGTCGAAGCTCGCATGGAGCGATTCGCGGGGAATTGCAAGAGGTCATGCAGCAAATGAAGGACGACATGCTAGGGACGCTCAACGAAATGGTGGAACGTTGCAACAAGTCGAAGGAGGAAAGCCTTGCTCGTGTTGCCGCCCTCCAAGACGACGTCAACCGGCTTATGGGGAGCCGGAGACTTCTCGGGCAGAATCGGCGCGTCTTAAGGCACGGCTTGACGCCGTGGCCGTGCAAGGACAACCGGAGCCGTGGGGACGGTTCCAAGGCTTGAGGCGCCCAAGCCGGACGAATATAAGGGCAGCCGTCGCTTGAGGGACGTAGAGAACTTTCTCTGCATGGAACAGTACTTTGGGGCTATGAACATCATGGACGACTCGGTAAGACTCTTCCAAGCCTCTCTTTATCTTAAAGATAGTGCTTTATCATGGTGGAAGCGTATGATGAAACCCGTGGGGATGGAGACCCGGTCTTCACCACGTGGGATGGTTTTAAGGAAGAGTTTAGAAAGTATTTCCTACCGGTGGATGCGGAAGACGAAGCCGGGCCAAGCTTCGTCTGCCCGCACCATAGGGAAGGCCAAATTCGGGAATACGTCAAGGAATTTTCGGACTTGATGCTTGAAATTCCGGATCTCTCGCCCAAGGAGGCGTTCTTTACTTTCATGGACGGTCTTAACCGTTGGGCCAAACTTGAGCTACAACGGAGAGAAGTCCAGGACATCGATCGGGCGTTAAAGGTGGCCGAGTCGCTTGTTGAGTTCCAAAAGAAGGATAGCTCCAAGGACAAAGGCAAGAAGCCGTTCCAAGGCAAAGGTGGGGGAGACAAAGAGAAGTCTTCCACACCCGCTAAACCGGCAGCCGACTCTACAAAGCCGTCTTCGAGCAAGGAGACCAAGGGGGACAAGCCAAAGAAGTTTCAAGGGTGCTTCTTGTGCGGGGGAGCGCACATGGCACGTGATTGCCGTCTCGTTCGAAGTTGGCGGCATTGGCACAAGGTTTGTGCCAAGAAGAGGAGAACGGGTCGCTTGCATGAAACGGCTAGACGCCGTGCATGCCAAGGCCGAGACACGTCAAGGCCGTCTTTACATGGAGGCATCGTTCGCAAACGGGTCTAGATGGGGCATGCTAGACACGGGGGCCGACACGAGTTATCTCACGGAAGAGGTAGCCAGTTTGCTTGGCGTCAAGTGGACACCTAGCAAAGGCCGTTTCAAGGCGTGAACGGCGAATGGACGGGTCTTGTAGGCGAAGCCGGGGATGTGCCTCTTAAAATCGGCAATCGGTCGTATGGCCAATTTCTCCATTGCACCTATGGATGATTATGGTCTTGTGTTTGGCATGGAGTTTTAGACCAGTAAAGCCGATCATCGTGCCTAGCAACGACACTATGGTGATCCTCCAAGGCGAAGCCTTGTGTGGTAAAGTTTAGACGGGAAAATGAGATTAGCCCTTCCCACTGAACAAGGGGCTAAAGCGGGGTGAACACACCTTTGCCGCCATGGTGTTTGAGGAGGAACCATGCACAGAGGAGCCGGCAAAGGAGGAACGAATCCCGCCTCCCATAGAGCGAGTCCTTGTTGAGTTCAAGGACGTTATGCCCGACGATTTGCCCAAAGGTCTTCCACCAAGGAGGAGGTTGATCATGCCATCGAGTTGGTGGACGGGCGAAACCGATAGCCAAGGTGCCTTATCGTATGTCCCCAATGAGCTAGAGGAGCTCAAGGTGCAAATCAAGGAGCTACTTGAATCAGTCATGCAAGGCCGTCTAAAAGTCCGTGGGGTTCGCGGCCTTATTCCAACGCAAGAAAGATGGGACGCTACGTTTGTGCATCGACTATCGGGCGTTAAACAAACTAACCGTGAAGAACAAGTACCCTA